TAAATTTGTAAAACATGACCATATGAAATACTTTCCAATCTTCGAACAGGATACAGACCAATTAAACTTTGTCAGCTAGAATTGTACAGTGAGATTTCATCAGTTTCATCCGTCCTAGGAATTCTATACATCCCCTAAAACAGTGATTCTAAAAACGTAGTCCCCAAACCAATAGATAAAGTATTAGTGAAGGATTTGTAAAGTCCCCCTCCAACCCTTCTGAATCACAAATTGGAGTGGGACTCAAAAATTCATTTTACCAAAAATTTCTGATGATTAAAATGCATGCCAAAATTTGAGCACATCCTAGAGAAGACTGACACAGCCCAGTTTTAGGAGTCTTTACCATGGGTAGGGAAGTTTAATTGTTTTGGGTTATGGGGGGTTCTTTTCAACTTTTCCAAACATAGCAAACAAATTTTTCTTATCTCCAAAAACTTAATTTTAATTGATGTTCAAAATGTGAAATCAATAAAACTTTTTGAGCACAAAACAATGGTTTCAACACGATACAATTCAGACTATGTTAACTATAAACATCTTTATTACCCATATTATTCAGGCCAATTTTTACACTAATATAATTTGGAAGGATTCATCTTCCTTTAAGTAACAGACCAATATATTTTTTCCCAGAATCTCTCTAGCCACGTCTATTCAATTCATTGAAGGTATTCAGCTTCCACATAATTTTAAATTTAAGTAAGCTTATCCAAGACATGATTTTTTTATTTAGTTACCTGTATATATCACTTTTCTTTCCTGGCATTCAAGAAGAGATCTTTTCTTGTGCTTTGTTTTTTCCCGAAATCTTACTGTTATTACTACATTTGGATCACAAGCACTGTAAGTCTGTTCAGGAAAAGATTTGGTTTCCACAAGGTTTCCAAACTTCTTATTGACAAAATGGTGGACAGCTTTTCTGTGGTCTTTGTTTGCATCAGGTTTAAAGGTAAATTTGGAATTTTCTTTCTTTGCATCCAAATACTTAAAAAAGTCAAGTGCTTCTTCTTCAGATACCAAATGGCAAAGTTCTTTATACTCAAGATTTGGTTTTATAACAACTTCACTGTTTTTTCCTACAGTTATTAAGAAAGGAAATTTCTGCCTAATAGCACTGTGTAAAATAGCCCTTTGGTTTTTGTCAAGGATCCTGCCTAATGAGAATTCAGGAGATGGCCCAATTAGCTCAGTTTCTGAATTCCATTTCTCTTTTACATCACAGGCAAACTGATTCAGTAATTCATTTGTTTTTTCATCTAAAAAGAAGTTTAATACATCAGCATTTTCTTCTTCACAGTTGAAAGTCCTATCACTGATGGTATCTTCTTTTTCTGAATTAGATTGATGATTTTGGTCACCATCAGAGCACCTAGACAAAGTATTAAGTTCTTGGTAACTTCCATCTTCAAAGGACAAATTTTGAAGATCTAATTTTGGCTTTTTGGCAAAATTATTCAGCTCAGGTATTTTACTAACTGCATTAATTGGTTCATCAATGGCTTTATTAACTAACTGTCCTTGTTCATCAATCTCAATAACAATAAATTCACCTGGTGAGCTTTTTATAGTACCCTGAAATCCAACATGCTCATTGATGAAACACAAAGAACTAAACCTGATTCTATAATGTGTATCCTCTTCCATTCTTCAATAATAATGCCTACAAAAGAAACAAAAAGACAATTAGTTAATCAGAAAGAGAAGTTGTGGCTAACAAAAAAGGGAAAAGGTTTGCAAGATGTACATAGATCTGTGTTCCTTTCAATCCTGAGTCCCCTTAGATGACATTAACAATTTATGACTATAAATCATGTGTATTTGACCCATTTTTGGCACAATTAGTGATTTATAAATTGATTTTCATTCATTTTAGTCTTCTGCCTACTATCCAGAATTAAAAAGGATCAATTTCAAGCTTACCAAAAAAAAAAAATATCTGTAGGTCCACAAAGAAAAGACAAGTACAATGATTTGTCCAATCCCACCTCTGGAACCTAAAACTTGCAACTAATTCCAGAGAAATAACAGCTAGATTTTATATATTAGAAGTTAAAATAGGAGAGGGGACAAGATCAAAAAAAAAAAAAAAAAAGGTCAAAATTGATAGCTTAACAAAGTTCTAAATGCCAACTTACTATGAGTTTACATTTCATGGGAGGTCTAGGTTAGTCCTAGACTTTAAGCCTTCCCTAAAGCCCCCAATTAATATTGATATAAAAATGTGAGGTTGATTCAGAGAAAAACTGTAATCCTACCCTTGGCATCATAGACAAGAAACCCTTAGAGGGTTTTTTTGTTGTTGTTGTTGTTTTTTTTTTTTTTTTTTTTTTTTGAAGCAGTAGACAAGAGAATAGTTCTCTGAGAACACCTTCACTCAGTAGGCATAAAATCCACTGCTACCATAACTCATGGAGCTGTTGGAAAGATAAATTGTCCAGGGGGCCTCAATACTCAGTTTGTGTTATTCATATTATCCAGATAATTTATCATCATCTGGACTTTCATCTCATTTCTAAAATATACTGTACTAAACTGGACCAACTGAGCAAACCACTTCCCTTCTCAATCCTTTCCATTGTGCTATGCAGAAATCACAGCAAATTCTCTATATCCTAATTTCCTAGAAAATGTAAATGGAGATATACATTTTCCTTAATTCTTTAGTTTCCTACAGTCTCTTCTATTTCTTGCCCTTATTAAAACCTGGCTATTTCCCCAGGTTCCTTCTTCAATAGTCCTCTCAAGTAAAGTGGTTTTTGTTGTTGTTGTTTTTGTTTGTTTTTTTCCTACACTCATCTAGTTGAGGACCTGGAGATTATACTTTCTGTTTCCCACTGATCTTTCCCTATCATTTCTTCCCCTACCTCTAAAACTCCCAATTCCTTTGCAGATCATGCCATCAGGCATTATCCTCCACTGCCATCCTCTCTCTCTCCTGATGACTCATCTTTATTCACTTATAACTTCTGGTTCACAATATTCTTATCCAGCATTACATCATGATCATCTATATGGATAATCCATTTAATTTCTTGGTTTCTCACTTCCTCAATTTCATTCTCAAGCTCCCACTTTCACTTTATTTTTGTTATTCTTTCTTATGGTCATAACTTTGACTTTCTCACCAAAAAACCTCTGCACAAACTGTAAGGATATGACTCCCTGATCACTCTCACTGTCCTTTCATCACCATTACTTTAAATACTTCCTCCCCCAAATTCTCAAGACTTTGTGAAGGACTCTAATCCCTGCGTATGTATCCAGCCTACTATAGTCCTTCTCGATGAGGTATCCAGAATGTTGTTTAAAAAGGTAAATCATATCACAACTCTGTTTAAAGCCCTCTTATTACATTCATAACAAAATTTAAATTATTTGTACTGGCTTTCAAAAACATTTTGCCTTCATTCTCCAAACTCATCTTGTACCTTTACCCCATTACCCACCATATTCCAGTTACACTGGCATTCTTCACTATCTTCATAACTGTTTTTACTACTTAAACTTGTCCTTATTCATATAACTATCTTTTAGGATTCACATTCTGAGAGGTTTATCCTGACCAATAATCCATAGGAATATGCAAGTCATTCTCTTCCACAAAATCCTATTTAATTTTCTCCATAGCATGTCTAGCTAATGTTTCTCTTTATTATTTACTATGTCCCCAAACCTAATATCAACTCCATATGAAAAGGAACTCTGCATTATGCACTGATTAACCCGTGTTTAGAATAGCATCAAGCACACAGTAAGTCTATAATCAATACTGATTGTTGAATGAAACACCTAAAACAAAATAAGAGCTTTAAGAATGAAAAGGAAGAAAAGGTGACTTTTGCCTAGGATAATCGGGAAAGACACAATATAAGAAGCAGACATAAGTCTTTGAAATAATTCAAGAGATAGAAACATGGCAGAGGCATAAGTAACGTGCAAACAAAATATGCAATATGTTAGAGAAAAATGGCCCAGATACAGAGCACTTAGAGGTGGGAGGTCAAACTTTGACAGAATTTTGGGGAAAAAAAGCTGGATTAAGGCCAGAGTATGAAGGACATTGAATGGTCTGTCAAAGATTTAGAATCGATTGCACCGTCACTAGATGACCACTGGAGATATTCGAGTAGAAAAGGAACACAATCCAAAAGGACATTTTTCTAAGACGACTTTGAGGAAACTGAGCAGGATGCATCTGATGGAGTAAGAGTTGGGAAAGAAAAACAAGGGGTTCAGCTGGAGGAATTGGCCCCGGAAGATGATCATCATTTCTTTCCCCACGAAAAGGAAAAAGATATGAAAGACTTCTAAACTAATGAAATAGGTGGAAAAAACTTGAGGGGACCTTGAGGGTGGAAAGGGCGCCCATTAAGGGCAGTATTCCCAGGCAGAAGTCTGCTGATGAGGGAAGAGTCGGGCGCTGAGAGCAGTTGGCTGGCAGTGGTTGAGGAACTGCTGGTTGAAGAGGGATACTGCGACGGTGTTAGAAACAGAGAAAGGTAGCTCCTTGTCCTTCATCCTCTTTCACCAATCGCCCAGGCCTGTGAAACTCCTACCGAAGCCACCCCTCCACAGAACTACAGCCTCGAGCGGCAAAGCCTTCACATCCAAACACTCTCCAACACTGACAGCAGCTCTACTTGTTTCTTCGCCCACCCCTGCCCCCCCCATACAAGGTGCGACCCTGGCCCACGTCACCCTTCTCTTGAGGATAAAAAGTAGGACTCCTCAATCCCGACCTGATCATGAACACAAACACGATCCCCACGTGGCGCCAAAATCTCGCACCGGTGTTAAGTCCAGAAGAAGGCGTTCCTCTGCACGCTCTGCGCATGTCCGGAAGCTTTTGATTTTTCAGCCTCCGACGGAGGCATATTTAAAGGGACAGGCTCACCCTTAAAGAATCGACCTTCGCAAGAGTTTCTCCAGTCGTAGAGCCGCCTACAGGCACCTAGAGGAATCAGGGGGCGTGGCCTTCAGAATGGCACCTCCCCTCTCCAGCGCTTCCGGGTGCGCTGGCGTTCCACTGCTAGCTCGGCCTGGCGGTGTCGGGTCAGTGCCTCCCACCTGACTCCCCGGCAGGTAAGGATTTCCGGCCTGTGCATCTCCTTCTCGGAAGGTTGTGGGAGTCGAGCCTCATTCTCTTTGCTCAGGGTTGTCGCGGGACCGCTGCAGAACGTAAATCGCCTTACCATCAAAGTAAGAAAAGTTAGGAAATAGGCTGCATGGACAGAGCTTGGTGGGTCCCTGGGGATCCAGAAGTTCGTCAAACCAGAGCACGAACCTGTGGCGTGGAGGGGCGTCACCCAGCCATATGTTGGCTCAGACACTCTCTGTTTCTTGGCTCCCAGGGTGTGTGTTCCTGAGCCTTTTTCCTCAGAACCAGGAAGTCAAGTCAGCACTCACGGAGATGCTTGTGGCGGGGGAAAGTTTCTCTGGCTTTCAAGATTCCAATTAGAAAGTGGAGAGGCATTGTAGGATCAGATAAGTACATTACCAGTCTTGGAACATACGTGACGACAAGGAAGCAAAAGACACAAAAGGATAAAAAGCAAACCCTGAGAAAATACTTTTAGCCACTGAGAATGGAAACTAACGCTATTGGTACCTCAAAAACCTGCCTGCCCCAAGCGCCTTAAAAGCACAGGATATTAAAATCTGTCGTTTTCCCTTTCTGGTAGTGATCCTTTAGACGTCTGTTGGAAAATTCATATTTCTTTTATTCTCCTGTTTTCATACTAAACATTCATGGGAAGTTTGATTTCTATTTGTCCGAACTGACCTCCTGATCTTTCAGAACAAACTTACTCCTTCCACAGTCTTCCTGTCAGTATATGTCAGGAAATGTGTTCAAGTCCAAAGACCTTGGTGCTATCTTCTGCCTCCTCTCATCAGCACACAAGATTCTATTGGCTGTACCTCAGAATATACCAGCATCCTGGATCTTCTGCAGCTTCTCTGCTCTACCCACTAATCCAAGCTGCCAGCATTTCCCATCAGATTGTTGGTACACTCTCCTAATTTGTCTTTTCCTGCTTCTGTGTCCTTACTTCAACATACTATAGAATTCATTCATTTGCTTATTCCCTGACTTCTTTATTAGAATATAAGTTCCAGCAGTTAATTCTCCCCCCCACCCAATTGTCCTAAAGCTCTGTTTCCAGGAGCCTTCCAGCACAAAGAGACACTCTGTAAATATTTGATGAATGAATGACATTATATAATTTTTAAATACCCCAAACATTTTAAATTACTTACCATTGAGTTAAGTCATTTTTTTAAAAAGATACATGTTTATTTATGATATGCCAGCACATATCCCAGTTTGAAAAAGGCTACCCTGTAGAATTTTGTAGGAAGTTATCATCAGTTTTTGTATTTGGTGATGATATTGAGGTGTTCAAAAATAAACATTAATGACTATCTGGCATATTTTGCTAAGAGCATATGAAAGCAAATAATGTATTTTAGAAGGGTTACAAATATATTAAAACGTACTGTGCTTGATTAAATAAGACTACCAGCATCTGAAAAACTCAGCTATATTCTCATATCTATTGTTTGTACCCAACCAGTAACCCTTCAACACTACTGTAAATATTGAGGTTACATATATTTCTGTGCATTACTTTTAAAAACAATGTTATGTAATAAATTCTGTCAAAAAATAATTGTTCCCACACCCATGCAAACCCAAAGTCCATCATTCTCCAACCCCTATACATTCCCCTCCTTTTATCACAGTCTTAAACTGTATTAATTCATTTGACAAAAATGTTTTGAAGTCTCTTGGGGCATACTATGGGCATATGAACAGAAACGCATTTGGATTCCACAAGCAGACATCGATTTTAGTATATTGCCACCTCATCTAGTATACTTGTCCTCATTGTCTTATTTGAAAATATGAATGGTTTGTCTTCACCATAGAAATTAGTAATATGAGAAAATAATCATAAGGATACTTATAGATCCAGCACCACTTCTATTAATGCAGAGTACATCAAAGTACATTTTAAGGAGTTTAAAAAAGATGATACTTTCTATACAGTTTATTTTCATTATTGAAAAGCCATAAAAGCAAAATTAAAATCACCATAAAAATAATCATCAAGAGATAACCACTGTTAATATTTTGGTTTATATTCTCCTGATGTCCCTACACTATCATCTCAGCTGGAAATCTGGGTGCAGGAGAGCTACAAAATTTATTTCTGACCATGATGTAGCCTGTTTTTGTTCTCAATTCCCTGCATTTTAGCTGTAGTTTTTAGAATTATTGAGCATTTGTACCTTTCTAGCTTTGTCAATCATGTATTTCTTACAGTTTAGAGAAATCTGGATAAATAAGGGAAAATAACTTGAAGGAGACAACTGCATAATCTATACGTAGACAGGATTTCTTAATTTAAAAATATCATCCTTTCATTCAACACAAATGTTTTCTGTAGCTGCTGAAGTAAATTTGGTTGAATTGCTACCCAGGAGAATACACAAGCAGGGAAGACAGAAACACAATAAAATATAATAATTGTTGTAATAGAAGAATGATCAGGTGACATTTTGGAGCAAAAGAGTTGATTATCAGGAAAAGCCAATACTACCTTCTGAGTTGGACTCAGAGGAGTAGCTGACTCTTAAGGTGCTTGAGCTTTTACTTAGCCCTAGATGACTTTGTGTCCTACTTCATAGAGGAAATGACATTGTGTGGGAGCTCTCCCTCTATTCTTCTTTTTAGATTCAGAGGAAGAGATTTCCTTCTGCTCAGCACTGACCTTTTCACTATCTCATTTGTGTCAACAACCAGCTTAAGCCTTAAACTCTTAACCAGCAGCTCTCAAAATGTGATTGGGGTCCCTGAAACTCTTTCATAAAGTCTGTAAGGTCCAAATCACATATGGATAAAAGATTCATTGAGTGCAGTGGATTTTAATGTGCAGTGTTCATTGATACAACTTTAGATTCCATATTTCAGCTTCTTTTCCTTCTTCAACTCCCTTCCCCTGTTCCTCTCCTTCTCTTCATAGATGGACATCTTGGAAAATCTATTTTTACCATTCATTCACTGTTCACTGTACTGTTCTTAAGTCACCACTATCCTTCAGGTTTCCAAATTTTACATACCAATTGGTATTTATTTGACCTCTCTAGATTTCTAGAATGGACACCAATTAGTCCCCATCCTATAAATCTAATATGGTACTGTCCTGATTTTCTTTTTGCCTCCATAACTTATCAAGTACTTTTTAAATTGCTTCTTTTACTTCATTCCTTCCCATTCTATATGTCGCTCGCTAATTGGCAAATTTATTTTTAACTTGTTTTCTCACCTGTATATGCAAATATGCTCTTAATTCATAAATTTTTTTAAATTTAGATGTTGATGCATTTTTATTTTATTAATTTATTTATATGCAGTGCTCAGAATTGAACCCAGTGCCTCACACATGCTAGGCAAGCGCTCTACCCCTGAGCCACAACCCCAGCCCCTCAATTCATAAATGAGAATAGATAAGTGAGCATTCTGTGCTGAAACCTCTCTGCTAAGCTCCAGACATTCATATAGCTACTTGATGCCACCTTTTCTAGATGGTGCCAGAAATAGGTATTTCACAAAATCCAGGCATCCTCTCATTATTCTCTCACTCTCCCTTTCCTCTGATCTCTTATGAATTTTCTTCCTTCCTTCCTTCCTTCCTTCCTTCCTTCCTTCCTTCCTTCCTTTCTTCTTTCTTTTTCTTTGAGATTGAACCCAGAACTACTTAACCACTGAACCACATTCCCGGGCCTTTATTTATTTATTTATTTATTTTATTTTGAGACAGTGTCTCCAGGGCCTTGCTAAATTGCAGGGGCTGGCTTTGCACTTTCAATCTTCCTGCCTCAGCCTCCCAAGCCACTGGCATTACAGGTGTGCACCACTCTGCCTGGCTATGAAATTGTTTTGATTTGGTCTCTAAACTTTTTCATCTTTTTTTTGTCTATTACCTGAAAGTATACTAAAATAAAGGGAAGCAAAAATAATTGACAGAAAAATATCTGTCTTGAGTCATTGGAAGAAAAGATCACCATCTACTGAGAATGAAGGGCATGAAAAAAGTTAAAGCTACATAGAGAGGTAAAAGTATGAAATAGTCACTAAGAACAATGACACAAGAGAAGTAAAAAATAATAGCATTGAATTCCCAGTTGAAAAGGGATTGTCATAAACTGGTGTTCACACCAGTCTGTTCCATTATCTAGTTCTTTACAGCTGTATTCTACAGGTCTGGTAAACAAGTAAACTTGTGAGACTTATCCCTGGCTTCTGATCTCCAGAGTAAAGTTATAGAAGAAAAGGGAGATTGAGGAAATAAAGGTTCTGTTTAGAGAGGTGTTGAAATGGCAAACCACATATTTTGGCTTAGTAGGAAATGAATTGTGGTGAGGCAGATCTCAGGGACTCAAAGTATGTGTAGGGGATCGGGTGTGGTAGGGCTGGCCTACAAGCCCAGCCACTGGGTAAGTTGAGGTAGGAAGATCACAATTCAGAGGCCAGTGTCAGAAACTTAGGGACACCCTGTCTCAAAATGAAAAAATGAAAAGAACCAGGGATGGAGATAAGTGGTAAAGTGCCACTGGTTTTAATCCCCAATACCAGGAGTCGAGGAGGTGAGGCTGGCAGGAGTAAAGGGGTCAAGGAAGAGCATGCTAACAAAGTATGTGAATGGACCATATTTTCTGTGTATGTGTTTGTGTATATGTGGTACTGGGGATTGAACCCAGGGGTATTCTACCACTGAGCTACATCCCCAACCTTTTCAATTTTTTTTTTTATTTAAGACAGGGTCTCACTAAGTTGCCAAGCCTGCCTTTAATATGTGATCCTCTTACTTCAGCCTCCTGTGCCACTGGGATTATAGGCAAGTGCCACCACAATCATCTGGGCCATATATCTTTTAATGCTATTAAATTATTTCAGTATATTTACTTTTCACTTTTACCAAAGAATATTGGATAGATTTTAATAGTTAAGTGTTGACAGAAAAAATTGTATTTTAAATGGAAAGATAAATAGACTTGATTCCCAAACATACTCACAGAAATTTTTCAGATAAAGTTAAAATTTTTGCTGCGTTGTATTAATTTCACTTGGCAAATATCAGTGTCAGAAAAAAAGTCCTACTGTTTTTATTGATATTTGTAGATGGAAAAATAAAGCAAAACCAGAGGACAACTTGAAAATGCATTTTAATTTGGATTTCTTCTTAGGACATCAACTAGTTGACTTTGGAGTGTTGCTTTGTTGTGTTATAATCAGTTGTCAACATTTCGTGCAGTATAGCAAAGTATGATATATGAGCTCACAGATGTCACCTCCAAAACTACTGTAAAATTTTAATGAGAATTTTTTCATATTTCAGGAATAGAAGATGAACAAACCCATAACACCATCAACATATGTGCGCTGCCTCAATGCTGGCCTAATTAGAAAGTTGTCAGATTTTATTGATCCTCAGGAAGGATGGAAGAAATTAGCTATAGCTATTAAAAAACCATCTGGTGATGATAGATACAATCAGTTTCACATAAGGTAACATAAAATTCTTTTTCTTTTGAAATTTTTACATTAGTAGGTAGAAATACCTATTAATTGCTTGTTCTCCTGCTATCCCTTCCCTTTAATTTTATTGACTCATTGAATTTAGGAAGTGAACCTCTCTATTGTGGGTAATAAGTCACCCCTTTTTGTTTTCTTCTTTTCCTTTTGCAATTTTTGCTTCATTCTTCAACTTGTCAGCTGGGCTAATATTGTGATCTTCAAAATAAGTTTTTGAGTTAGAGTAAAGAGTCTCACCTTTGCTCTAGTTCTCTGTCACTCTGTTTTACACTTTGAATTTTCAGATTGAAGGAACATAAGACTGTTGTAAAAATCTAGTAAAATTCTGGAGTTTAAACTTTTAAGTGTGTGAATCTCTAAGCACCCTTACCAATGTATTTTGGCAGTTTTTCAAATTGATTTTAAGGCTGTTAACTTGTAAGTGTTCATATCTACAAATGTAATTCTTAGATCATACCCAGAATTTTTCAACACTAGCTTCACATGATTTACATTCTTTGTTTGTACTCATTTTTTTCTTAGTGTAAAATATGTTGTTGTTTTTTTTTTTGTCAGTCACTACAATTAAGACCTATGTCAAAATCTGTCTTTGAAAGCAAGAGAAAATGAAATTTATTTTTGGTATTCAACAATCACCTGGCAAAGAATCTAAAGCCTTGACACCTGTATTAGTCCTTCCAAAATATTTGCTGATATGAAGGCTTAAACATCTTAAATTACTTGTGAAAGCATCAAGTTTAAAACGTGAAAGCTACTTTTTAAAGATAGTTTGTTGATATTACTATTTAAAACTTGATAGTTGTGGGAGAGGGATAGGAAAAGAGCTCTTCTTTAGAGAATAATGCCAGGAAATAATGATTAAAATAGTGATAAAATCAGAAAGTTACAAATTTACAACCGCTAATGATAATTGGTTCATCATTGAACTTAAAAGCATAAGATAAAGGTTGTTGATGAACAGATGTACAAGATATCCACATATTACTCTCAAGTTACTTAAGAAGGGAAAAGTTACTTTTATCATAAAGAAACCTTCCTTAAACAAGTGATCAACAGTAATGACACAAAATGGCATTTTTTTTTTTTTTACCTCTGAATATGACACAGTGAGAAGGGTACATTGTCACCTACGTAGTGTTCTTACCAAAAATTTTAACCTGAATTTAATCATGAGAAAGTAGTAAGGTAAATATAGATTGTGATACATTATGCAAGACATCTGTTTTACACTTAAAACACTGTCACACTCACAGAGATTGAAAAACCAGTATGTTCAAGAACCCAGATTAGCAAAATGTTAGCAGTTGGTGAATCTAGACGAAGGGTAGGTAAATGGTTGGTCATTGCATTATTCTTTCAGCTTTTCTGTAGGTTTGAAATTTTCCAAATAAAATAGTTGGAGGAAAAACAGAGAAAGTTATATTGATTAAGTTTTTAAATGTTACTTCATGAAACTAATTTTTAATTTTAAAGTACTGAACGAAAAAGGGCTCTGTTTTCTTTCAATTTAGTTAAATATTAAGTATAGTTAAAATCAAAGGAGTAATTTCCTGAACGTGTACATATTCTATTTGTTTAATTAAGAAGGTGGATTTATTTTTTAAAATTAAATAAATAAAAATTAATTTAGTTAATAAGTCATGAAGGAAGTAATATAGCTTAGTATGTTGAAAGTACATCCTTATGTGAAGAGAAATCTGAATTTGGATCTCACCTTGGATGTATCTTATTGGCTGTGTGACCCTGGACTGGTTACTCTACCAGACCAACTTTGGATTTCTCATTAGTTAATTAGTTAATTAGTTAATTAAAATGGTAATCCTTAAACAAGTTCATGCATTTGCATCCTGTAGCCTACTAAGTACTCAGTAAATGTTAACTTTTATTATCATAATCTTCAGCATCTTTTCTCCTGCCTCTCCTTCCTGGCTTGTGGTAATTTTTGCTTGTTCTCCTGCTATCCCTTCCCTTTAATTTTATAGGAGGTTCTGTAAGCAAGACAAGGAGAAAGGAGGCTAATTCCTGTTTTCATATGAACTCAAATTATATCCTAATTTGTTTCTTTGTTACTTGCTTTTAAGGAGATTTGAAGCATTACTTCAAACTGGAAAAAGTCCCACTTGTGAATTACTGTTTGACTGGGGTACCACAAATTGCACAGTTGGTGATCTTGTGGATCTTTTGATCCAAAATGAGTTTTTTGCTCCTGCAAGTCTTTTGCTTCCAGGTAAACTGAGTGTGACCAGGGTATCAACAATTAGGGTAGAAAGACAAATGGCAGAAATGGAAACATTTCTACTTACTCTTACTTTCTTTCTCATATTAAATGAACCTTACATTTAAGAATTCCTTTCATTCTTTCAGCTCTCCCAAACTCTTTAACAAGCAGACACAGGACACTTCAGACTGCTGCTAAAGTGAGTCTGATCTCCACCATTAAAATTAGATAATTCTGTGCCATCAGGAAGTTCAGAACTTGTGTAGGCTGTAGGAAATTATTCTTTTGAGCTCTTGTTTTTTCCACCTTCAAATTCCACTTTGTTGACACTCTATCATCATGATTTCCCCACACTGCATTGTAGTGTGTTAGTGTCTAGTTATCTTCCTTATAACCTTAACTTTCTCCCTTTGACGCCCTTTATACCAGTGGTTCTCAATCTTTATTGTGCATAAGAATCATTTGGGGTTCTTGTTGAACAAGGAGGTCTTTTCCAGACCTAGTCAGAAATTCTGGAGTTAGATTCAAGGTCTATGTTCTTAAACAAGTACTTCAGTGTTTCTGGTGCAGGTGGCACATGAGCCACATTTTGTAAACTCTGCCTTACTGTACCAATCTTTATTGTGACTGACAAGTTCTTACTAGGTAGCTTCTTATGTATGCTGTCAAAATATAGTGCCAACCTCTGAAAATTCAAATGTTATTAATTAATCTGAGTTCCTAGTTGAACTTTTTTACACACAATTTCTTATGGAAGGAATAAGTGTTTCTTATTCTGTATGTTTTTTATTCTGTTTTGCAGATGCTGTTCCCAAAACTGTTCATGCTGTACCTTGTACAGAAGCTACAACAGTTCAGCAGAAACAGATGCCTTTCTATGAAAAAGACAGGACATCTGTGATACCTGTGCAGAATCTTGAACAAAACCATGTGCTACCTGACTCTTCAAGTCCAGAAAATAAAAGTTTAGAATTTAGTGATACACGTAAGTAACATTTTCACTGCTCTCTTTACTAGTAAATTTGTCAGGATGACAATCACTGTTTTAAAATAAATTTCTCCTTCTTTCATTTGTTTAGCTGTCAAAGGCACACTGGCAATAGCTCTTGCATGGGTTTTTTTTCCCTCTTCATTTATTATGTATTATCTTCATTGCATTAACAAGTATCAGTGATTAGAGGTAAAGATATGCAATAAACAAAAACAAAAAACAACATAGAAAGTGGTAGGCTGGGGATATAGCTCAAAGGTAGAGTGCTTGACTAGCATGCATCTGGGTTTGAGAACCAGTACCACAAAAACAAAACATAGAAACTAGGGAAAAATAAGTTAATATTTCCATAACTTGCAATGACATTTTTTTAAAGAAATTATGTGACTTCACTTTGGGTAGTAACTAGAATGTTTGGTTGGTAAGATCACTAAGCATAATTTTCATAATAAAGTTTAAAATTTGTGTTTTAAACATGGTTTTACCCCATCCCATCTGTCCTGTCTTTTCTTTTGTATTTGTATATGTACGAAATATTAAGTTGAGAAAACATCAAAATTATTAAAACAAATTTCCTTTTTATTTAGTCACTTTTTCCTTATTTTATTGGCATTTTAGGTTTTCATAGTTTTTCATTTTATGAATTGAAGAATGTCACAAATAATTTTGATGAACGGCCCATTTCTGTTGGTGGCAATAAAATGGGAGAGGGAGGATTTGGAGTTGTATATAAAGGCTATGTGAACAACACAGCAGTGGCAGTGAAGAAGCTGGCAGCTGTAAGTAATGTTTTTAGGAGGAAAAGAATGAAAGGAATAGTTGCTTCCTGGTATGTGATATAACAAGCTTTACGTTAATCTTTAGGAAATATGTTATTTCACCATGTATTTTCTTCTAATAAATGCCTTCCTAAAGCTGGTAGTCCTTATCATTTAAAATTCAATTGAGAGGTATGGACCGCATCCCTAGAAAAAAATATTTTGCACACATGCATATGATCATACATACAATTTTGAGAGATGTGCAAAATAAAATTGAGAAATCCTGCGCCACATTGTACCTCATGAGTAATCAAAATAAAAATGATACTAAGAAAATATATATATATTTTGTATTACTTTTCTTGTTTAAAAATATAGTTTAGAAAATATATATCAAGACTAGAAATCTTCTTGTCTATATTCTTTGTTCCCATTTCTATTTACATATTCACCCCTTACTTTTTGATTTGTTATACTCTAAATCTGTTGTTATATCCTAAAAATATTAATAGATCGCATATATATACATTGTCATTCTTTCTCATATATGTTTCAAATATTTTATTTTCCTTTTGCATTCAAATTTGCCAGCTTTCTGTTACTTAAAAATTTCTATGCAGTGAAGTCTCATTCTATTTTGTTTCCACAGTAACTTAGGGAGGCTCATAATTTTTTTTCTGTTCTCTGATAAACCATGGACCTTGAGCAAAACACTAAAATTTCTATATATCAGTTGTTCTATAAATAAGGAAAGTAGTACCTTATTGTTTTAAAGAAAGCAGATCAGCCAGCTATTTCTTGAGCTGCTTCAGCTTTAGAAGCCATGGGTAATGATACTGTATTAAACTGCATATTATTTTTTCAGATGGTTGACATTAGTACTGAAGAATTGAAAAAACAATTTGATCAAGAAATAAAAGTAATGGCAAAGTAAGTATTACTTGGCAGTGTGATAGAGGGGAAAGGAACCAGTTAAGGTACAAGGAACCTGGTTTCTTTACCAAAGTGTACCATGAGCTATGGATATTTCCAAATGCAGTTATATAAAATCAAAGTAAAGGGTTTAGATAAGTACTATTGGCTCAATTCTATGACTGCATACACTCATATGCTTGTAGATTAAACAGGAGTTAGTTTAAAATCATATCAAAGTTACATGGAATTTCAGCAGTTTTCCATTATTATGTTTTCTGCACTCAAAATTCTTGAAAAATTAATTGTAGAGATACTTTTAAAAAAGCTTTACAGAATAATAGACCCTTAGATAACAATCATAAAGTAACTAGGGAAGCATTATATGCAAAGATATTTAGAATACTTTGACGTAGAATGCTGGGAAATTGTTGACATTATCAAGAAAGGTAGGAGAAACAAATCAGAAATGTATTTAGTACTTATACTGATTGACATTTGAGTGTATACAATATGCTGGGCACTGTGTTACATATTTTATTTATATTGACTCATTTAATTCTCAGGACAACTCTTACAACCTCCCTTTAAAACAAATAAAGATTTAGAAGTGTTAAATAACTTGCCCAAGGTCACATAGACAGTAAATGTTAAAAGATAGGATTCAAATCCAGATCTGATTCCAGAGCCTGAGCTCTGGATTTGGATCTTAATGGGATTTACCAAATTATATCCCCGAGGCCCATTGCTATAAATTACCAATTCTATTTGGTTAATCTCAAGAAATATTTAATAAACTGAAATTGATTCAGGTATAGTAAAAATAATGCACACTGAAAAAAAGAAAATTTGTTCTCTCTACTCATACCTCTAGTTCTCCAGTTGTAAAAGTAATTTGTTCAAAGTAGATAAACTGGGAAATATAGGAAAATGTTTTTTTTAAATAATCAAAACCAACTCTTAAATATATAACTCAGAGGTAACCATTGCAAATATTCTGATGTACTTGTTTCATGATGTTGTAGCATTTTTACCATGTCATTAAAAATAAATTTTTAAAAAATTAAATTATTTGTAACATTCTGTCATTTATAAAGACCATATCTTACTTAACCATTATCCTACTAGATTTTTTTTCTAATTTTCAGTATTACAAATCAAAGATCCTTTAAGGATCACAAATATCTTTAAATGTTTAAATACATTTTGGCTTATTTCATCAGGATAAATTCCTAAAAAACTTACCAGGTCAGATTACATTAACTTTCTAAAGACTTTCCAAATACATGTTCAAATGACTTTTTATAGATAAGTAATGGTAATTTATTTAATTTTTCTGATGATGGGGATTGAACCCAGAGTCTCACTCATGCTAACCACATGCTCCACCACTGAGCTACACCCTCTACCCCAAGTTGTGATCATTTTACTTCTACTAGCAGTGTAAATATCATTGCTACCTAATCACCATTGCCTATTATTTTTTTTGATATGTGCCAATCTCTGATCCTTACTAGTAGAATGACATTGACCAAGTTTCTTTACTCTCTGTCCATTAGTTTTCTAATCTGTAAAATTGGATAATATTACCCTGTTGTGAAGATTAAATAAAACAAAGCAAGTGAATCATCACAATACCTTAAGGATAGTATAAATTCAGTAAATGTTAACTACTAATATTTAAAATGTGCCAGTTTGGTGGAAAATGAAACAATTATTTTTTTAAATTTATATTTCTTAAAATATTAATGAAGGTAGAGATAATTTATTTGCTATAAGGAAATGTTAGAAGTATCAAGCATTTTGAATGAACAAAGTGAGTAAGCACTTGGAAGGAGTACATATGTGCCAGGTATGTTTCTAGGCTCTTGTATATTTATTCATTTAATTATAAGTGTTCATATTACCAATTAGCTACTATTTTCTGCATTTAGCAAATAAAGGAGCTGAGTCTCAGTGAGGTTGTTGACCTGCTACGGGTCACATATCTAAGAAGTAGCAGAGCTAGATTTTCAACTTGACTTTGAACTCAGCTCTGTTTTCTCTAAGCTGAACCAGAAATCCATGAAGTTGTGTTATACTGTAACTTCTCTTCAGTTTTATTACCCTCAGGTATATATAGATATAGATATAGATATAGATATCAGACAATCAGATGTGATGAAAGATCAGACATGTATAATTTAGATGTGATTAAAGATCTGGCCTATAAATCAGTGCTTTATTGTGTGATAAAATATTTTGGTGTGTTAGAGAATTCTTGAGAGTATTATAAAAGTTTGAGCAGACTTCTTAAAAATCTTCTTTATACTATTGAAAATTGTACTGAACAAATACAGGCATCAACCTAATCTTTAACCAAGTTATGACAAGTTCTAATGAGCCAAATTATTGAATTTTCACTATAAAATAGAAAGAGGTTTTGCTTCTAACATTGATCAGTATTTCAGAAGAGAGAACCATTTACAGAAAATTATGGTTATATAATTAAGACATAGATATATAATATATTTGATATATAACATACTGTTTTCTTGATCTTTTTTCTGTTGAAACACTAAATTGAATATTTACAAATAGATATTATAATGATCTACATGGAAAATTTTTTGTCATAGGTGTCAACATGAAAATTTGGTAGAACTACTTGGTTTCTCAAGTGATGGCGATGATCTCTGCTTAGTATACGTTTACATGCCCAACGGTTCATTGCTAGACAGACTGTGTTGCTTGGTAAGATATTTTGTTCATCATATCATTTGGCTTTCTGTTTATGTGTTAAAATATTAATATTTACTTTGTACAGGATCATTTAAATTACACTAATCTTAATATTTTTCTTGCTCTATAAAAGCTGTCTAGTTGATATGTAAACAAGTAGGATTGCCAGTCTGTTAGGTGATCACCTAAAATTACTAGTCAAGGTTAGATGTTGAAATGCTCTTATATATTTTTATCTTCAAATAAGAAATGCTAACCTCCATTTGATCTTATTTAGACATATTTTAACAACTTAAAAAATTATAGACCTAAATTCTTAGTGATAGCATTTTTCAGTTATTGCCTAGAAAAAATATTGAGTTACATATTTTCTATAGATTTTTTTTCTTTTTTTAATTGGTTTGTTTCTTCATAAGGATGGTACTCCACCACTTTCTTGGCACACAAGATGCAGGATTACTCAGGGTGCAGCTAATGGAATCAGTTTTTTACATGAAAACCATCATATTCATAGAGATATTAAAAGGTAAATGCAGCTGTGAAAAGTTTTTGGAAAGCCATCTTTAATTTGTTGTCACTGTGTTTATTCACTATTCACATGCATGTCTTAACCTGAAGCAACTGGATACATTCTCCATAAGTCCATGAAAGCTCTTCTCAATGAGGACATCTGTAATCTGCTCTATTTCAAATCCAATGACCTATTTCTAATACTCATCCTACTTGACTTTTTTCCCTTTATTTGTTGACATTATGTTATTCTGTTCTTCTTGAACTCTTTTGCCTTGTGGAAAATAGTTTCTTTGTTAGTTTCTGGATTATGACTCTTTTCTGAATCACCTTCATCCTCCGTGAGTACTTTTTCAGTTCTCTTTCTTCTTAAGTATTATGTCAGCTTTGTATCATTGTGACAAAATACTTAACATGAACAACTAGAAAAGGAAAGATGTATTTTGGCTTACTGTTTCAGAGGTTTCAGTCCATGATCGTCTGGCTCTGTTGCTTTGGGCTTGAGGCTTGGCAGAACAAAACTGCTCACCTTATGGCAGCAGAAAGCAGAGAGAGGGACTAAGGAAGGAGTCAGAAGAAATACCCTTGCAAGGCATACCCCGGTAACCTAGTTCTTCCAACTAGGTCCTACCTCCCAGTAATGCCATTATCTACAAATCCCTCAATAGATCAGTCAGTTGATGAGGTCAGAGTACTCCTGAGGATCCCAAAATCCCCACCTCTAAACATTTCTTTATTGGGGACCAAGCCTGCAACACATGATATATTTCATATCTAAACCATCACATGTATTTATATTTCTCTAGTTCAATATTAACCTGCTATATACTAAGTACTGTAGATGATGCAATTTAGCAAAAGTGGCATATATAGAATTTGACATCAATTGAATAATCACAAAATAATAATAGAATCATAGTGTTTAGTATAGGTTCAGTGTGTATGAGTATGTATATGTGAAATATATTATCTCCATCCAAAGAATGAGTAGGAAATAAGGAAGAACAGTTTGAAGGCAGCTATAGAAGATGGAGAGAACAATCTAGACAGAAAGAACCATGTTTGTAAGATCAGTAGTGGTAAGGAATATAGGAGTTCAATGAGTTAAGAGGTGAAATAAAGTTTGACTGTTATGTAGAAAGTGAAGGGATGTAAGAATTGAAATAAAATTAAACAGATAGATAGGGAGTTAAGATCTATAGGGCCTGATAGACCAAGGTAAGGTTTTATATGTGATTAAATCTTAAATGTAATGAGATGTTATTAAAATTATAGTAAGGCAGTGACATAATATGTAAGTTTTACAAGATCATTGTGACTCTGGTATGGAGAACAGTTTTTAAGAAGGGGTGATTAGTAGGCTACCATACTGTCTTGGTCATGGAAGTTAATTTGAAGAGAAGTGAGCAAATTGGAGAGATTAAGATGGCATGCTTTGCTGATATCTTGGCAGTGAAGGGGGGAAAATATCAGGAATAACTCTTGGAATTATGACATCCAGAATTGTACTCTGGAATCATTGTGGCATGATTCACTTATATAGAAAGAGGACTCTGTTGGAGTGGTGTTGGGGAAAATGAAAATATAAATTCTCTTTTGTACATGTTGTGTTTAAGGTTCTTTTAAGATAAAGAAGTGGAGCTGGGTGCAGTGGTGTATGCTTGTAATCACAGCTACTGGGGAGGCTGAGGTAGGAGGATTGCAAGTTTAAGACAGCCTGGCAGTTTACTTTAAGGGTAGCCTAGGTGACTCTCAAGTCAATATCATCAGCTTCTAATACTGAATTTTTCAATGTGCCTGTACCAAAACTCCTTGCCTGAGTATCCCACTGGAGCCTCTAAGTCACTATCTTAGAAATCAAACCATCCCTTCAACCAAACATCTTTTTCTTGTATTATCATGACCTGCATGACATTTACTCAGTTTACCTAAACTCAAGATGATGAGGTGATTAAAAATAAGAAATAAAGACAAAAAACTCAATTAGTAGATTAATAGTGGGGCTCAGTGGGTGAATCAGCCCTGGTAGGGTCTGATCTCTAACAAAAAGGGGAGCTCCATGTGCTTTATTTTATATGCAAACACATCAAAGGGATTTATTATGAGAGAAACTTCTACAAGATAAACCAAAGTGAGGCTGAGGGGAACAAAGCATAATTGGTAGCATATCAACTTTTGCAGTATTTCTTCCTCCTCCAGGCACCTGGTGCCTCAAGTCAGTTCAAGCACACTGCTGTCTCTTTCACTTCCAGGCAGCTGTTTGAATCTAGAGCTGTATGAACCAATAAATTCTGTGGAAGACAGAATTTTTTCGCCCCTGCTATCACGAGCAAATGAGAGATCTCAAAAGAGCAATGCCCCTGCTTTGAGGTGGCTTACACAAACCCATAATTCATCCATAGCTCCCCAAACTGTATTTCCTTTGTAATCAAATGAAGTCAGTATTTATTCATTTCCAAAACTTAACGCTTTTTCAGTCCCTATATCCTATTGTCACAAATTTCTGTGCCTGAAAATGTGCACTTCCTATTTATTCTGCCTCTGTTTAGATCTTTGTTATCTTTTATTGGCTTTATTTCAAACCTTCCTAGTCAATGTAAAACAAGTCTGTACCAGTTCTCACCTGTTCACTACAACACTTCCAGGTTATGGTTCTAAAAGATAAATCTGAAATTATCAGTTCCATACTATGTAAACTTTAGATACTGTTCAAATTCACTCCATCTTCCATGAACACTAGTTTTTAAATTGATTCTGTATACCATATGCTCTTGTGTTTTCATCACTTTGTATATGTTCATTTCCCTGACATGCCTTTCTTTCCTTCATGTAACCATCAACTTCAAATAATCCTCCAAAACAAAGTATAATTTATACCTTCTCTTTGGAATTTTCCCCAGTAATTCCTGGCACATGATTGGTTTTCCAGCATTTGGTATCTGATATTCTCATCATGTAATACTGTTTTTTGAATTTTTTGGTAGCTGTACATAGACAGAATGCCTTTATTTTATTTATTTATTTTAATGTGGTGCTGAGGATCAAACCCAGTGCCTCACACATGCTAGGCAAGCGCTCTGCTACTGAGCTATAGCCCTAGTCCAGTGTAATACTGTTTTTTTTTTAATTTTTCATATGCTTTTTCCACAGATAAAGTTCTAAGATTCACCACCACATATTCAGCACCAAGTTTAAATACTATAACACAAAGTCTTTTCAATAAGGTTTTATTGAATGAAAATATGAATATATAAATGAATGCTTGTCATTAATTCATTAATATCTTTTATACATAATTTTGCCCTTTATAAGATTCCAGATGGTACAAAAATAGTTCAAAGTAATAAATAATTTAGATAACTTTAGAAATTTGTTTTTAAGTGAATTGAGTATTGTTAGGAAAGTAATTAAGAATGGTGTTTTCAATTTATTTTAAAGCTAGACACAGAAAGACAAATACCACATTTTCACTCATTTTTGGAAACTAATAAGTCAATCTCATATAAGAACAGAATTGAATAATTTCACTAGAGACTTGTAAGGGAAGGGGAGAAGGAAGTTTATAGGGCACCAAAAATAGAGTGAGGAATAACTTCTGGTTCTTCTATAGCACAGTAGGGTAACTAGAGGTTAAAATAACACTATGATATATTTTGAAATGACTAGAAGAGTATGAGATTCCCAACACATAAAAATGATTAATGTTTAAAGAGATAGGACTGCTTATTACCCTGATTTGATTATTATATATTGTATATATCGAATAATTAATATATCCCACAAAGATGCACAAATACTATTTCTCAATAAAAAAATTAAAATTTTGTTAGAATGGTGCTTTGAAGGCTGGTATGTGCAAGTTCAATGGGTTTAATCCCCATAACCACAAAGAAAAAGAAAATGGTACTTTGGAAGACTGGGAAGTTACCCTGTGTTATGGTTTCCTCCTCTGAAATTGTTCTTCTCAGGTCTTTTAGTCACAGCAGCAAAAAGCTGATTAAAATTTCCTGTAAAAAATTATTTATGGGGCTGGGGTTGTGGCTCAGTGATAGAGCCCTTGTCTAGCATGTGTGAGGCACTGGGTTCAATTCTCAGCACCACATATAAATAAATAAAATAAAGATCCATCAATAACTAAATTTTTTAAAATTATTTGTGAAATATTTATGAAAATATCTCTCACTAGCATGGAAATTTCTATTTCATTTTTATTCTCCTAAATGTTTTTCCTCTTTCTATTTGACTGTAATCTGAATCCTAGATATATTTACACAAACTTCATATATATCATAAATTTCTTTTATGATATATCCAATAAAATGGCAAACAATGTAAATATATGTGTATATACATGTGTGCATATATACTTTCATATATCTATCTAAGGAACTATTTGACTTCCTTGGGAAGAAAACATTTTTTCTCCAAATTTTACATTTTTTCAGTGCAAATATCTTACTAGATGAAGACTTTACTGCCAAAATATCAGATTTTGGACTTGCGCGGGCCTCTGAGAAGTTTGCCCAGACAGTCATGACTAGCAGAATTGTGGGCACAACAGCTTATATGGCACCTGAAGCTTTACGAGGAGAAATAACACCCAAATCTGATGTCTACAGCTTTGGCGTGGTAAGTTACATACAATAATCATTCTTGTACAAGTACGAAATCAAAAGATTATTTTAAGATACCTATCTTGCTTAGCTTTTGTGTTTAAAGATGTTAATCATTTATGTTAACCTTTGACTATATCAGAAAGTTTATGAAAATGTCTCCCAATGTATGATATTTTTGAGTTTTTTTAATTGTTGCAATAAATGATTTTTTTGTGAATTGGATGAGCTTAAATTAAATCATTGTATAGAATGAGTCATGTCATACAATATGTACTTTAGTCTCCATTTTCTTGGCATTTTCTGATCTACTAGTCTGTTCTTAATAGTTACTAAGATTGAGTAAGGAACAGAGTGTGAGTGTTGGAGATATTAGGGGCTTTTTCTTCATCTAATCTTTTTCAAATATATTTCACATATGGAAAGTTGACTTCATTGAACTGTAACATTAAGGCATGGGGTTGTAGAATATGTCTAGTGTTTAGAACATAAGATTCTTCTAAGAGCCAGAGAATTGGGATTAGATAATCAAATTTGATTTTCTTTACTCTTGTGAAGAATACCCTGAAAGACTGGAGAAGGATTGGGAATTCCCGAAACACATGTTGATTGGATTGATTCTTTTACAAGTTGACAATAGGAAAGAATTGCTTATGGGGGCATGGTGGGATCCTAGGTGCCTGTGAAGGAAGGTGATAAGAAATGCCCATGATTTGTGTTCTTTCTGCTTTAATACCAAAAGCTATATATTTTGTACAGAAAATATTAACCAGATTTCATAATCAAGATTCATATTCCTTCTAGTTTTTATGTTATCCTAAGTGTTATATTAATGGATTTTTTTTCCTTCATAGGTTTTACTAGAAATAATCACTGGACTTCCAGCTGTGGATGAACACCGTGAACCTCAGTTATTAGTAACTGAAAGATTCAATTTTTTTCTAGTTCTTTTCTCTTTGCATTTATTGTCTAAATATTTACTATGTATGGGAAAATTTGACATCTAGAAATGGAATTTTATTTTACAAGTATTTCTACTGGCAATACATAATGATATATGGAAAGAGCATTAAATATTTCTAATCTCAACTCTGCCATGAAATATTTGTGAAGCCTAGAACAGTCACTTATACATTCTTTGTGAGTGAAATTAGAATATAACCAAATGATTTCTGAGATCTTCTCCAGTTTACCTTAATTTCTTACTTTCCAGGGTGGTTACTAACAGTTTTCTAGCTCAGAAAGAAATGACTACATTTAAATTTGTATCAGAATAGGATTGCTAGTAAATGTTCTCTATTTATATTATAGATTATTTATAAAGTTTTAGAAAACATTATCTAATTTTATATATTAGACATTTCATTGACAATTTATAAGTAAGTTAGCTGAATGATAAATAAAACTAGAGGAGAATTATGCCCTGCATTTTTTTCTATGTCACAACTTTTAAGAATTTTGAAATTTGTATGAAATTAAAGAGTGATGGAAATATCATGTATAAGTTTTTCTTAAACTTGGATAAATAACCACACTGATTTCATTGGAATTTATGTGTCCAAATGGGACAAACCTGTATAATCATATCAGAAATATTCATATACCAGATTATGTAGCTAGAATTGGAATTAGAAAATCAAAGGGATTGATTTATTTGCTCAAGGATCTGGTGCCATACCTTTTTGTGGAAACCATAAGTAAAGTATCTGTATGTTATAATATTTTGTCCATTATAAAAATGTACATCATAAAGCTCTCCATGATATATTGGTAATGCAATCATGAAGTTACAGGCAATATAATATTTCATATCAGTATATTTATAGATACAATGTTAAAGTTATTGTTTTAGTAATTTTTTTTTACTAAAAAAAATTTTTTAAGTGGCACATTAAAAAGTAAAATTTTGTCTTAATCAGAGAAATAAAATTATCTGTTTAATTGGTTATTGGAAGTTGATGGAAAATCCTGGATTGGAGATGCTATTTTTGAGCCATTAATTAAGGTCATAGATAAAGCTTTGGGTATGGATTGAATTATATAAAATATATAGATTAAAAATAGAGGAGGTCAGAGAAAAGAGGTACAGAGGGCAAAAGATGGAACCCAGTGTTTTACTAAGTTGCAGCTTAAACTTTTTAGGCAAGGCTTACCTGTCTAAAGGCCTACGTTTTTCTATCCTATTACCTAAATATTTTTCCTCTTCAGAATGTATAAGAGCCTCAAAACTTCAAACTAAGTGAGGATATAATACAGAAAAGTACAGAATCTCTCTTAGTCACGAGTTTTATACTTCATCATTTAATAGTGAACATCATAAAACTTAAGGAAAGATTATACTTTTTCACCCATTCTTAAGGCTTGAATATGGTATCAATATAAAATAATAAGATTTTAATGCACATATAGCTAAGAGTGTGATGCTTTAATAAGCCCTTATGTCACTAGAGAAAATTTTCTTATCTTTACATTCTATTTCTTATAAGTAATCTTTTACATCTGTACTAGTTTTCTTGAGCTGCTGTAAAACATACCACAAAGTAGAAGACTTAAAGTGACAGAAATTTATTCTGTCACACTTTTGGAGGCCAAGTGTCTTAAATCAAGGTGTTAGCAAGGCTGTACTCCCTCTGGAGAGTCCAGGGGAGAATCCTTCCTTCCTCTTTCACCTTCTTTTTCTTGGGGAGGGGGGTTACTGGGGATTGAACTCAGGGACATTCAACCATTGAGCCACAACCCCCGCCCTATTTTGTATTTGATTTCGAGACAGGGACTTACTGAGTTGCTTAGTGCCTCTCCATTGCTGAGGCTCCTCTTCTACTTTCTGAAGGCATTCCTTGACTTATGTCTCTACCACTCCTGTCTCTGTCTCTGTAATCACATTGTCTTCTATATATCTTTTTTCCTCTTTTTGTTCATATACAGACACTTGTCTTTGATTTAGTGGCCACCTGGAAAATCCAGCATGACCTCCTCTTAAGATATTTAATTATGGGCTGGGGATGTGGCTCAAGCGGTAACACACTTGCTGGCATGCGTGGAGTGCTGGGTTCAATCCCCAGCACAACATAAAAATAAAATAAAGATGTTGTGTCCACCGAAAACTGAAAAAATAAATATTTAAAAATTTTCTCTCTCTTAAAAAAAAGATATTTAATTATGTCTACAAAGATGTAGTTTTTCCAGATAAGGTCACATTCACAGGTTCCAGGAATTAGGACATAGACATGTTTTGGGAGCTACCACTGTACCACCATAGTCCTAGACTTCTATCCTCATTCATTATTCTTTCATCCTGGCCTCTCCCTTATGCCTTCTCCTTTTTTTCTCTTTGATGAAACAATCTAAGTACCTATAGAGAAGTTTTTCAAATGCAGAGAGGGGTGTATGTATCTTGGAGTTGGAATTGCATTAGCAGAAGCACATCTTGAGGCAGATAACTCTGCCCTGCCTGCCTATTAAATGCTACTAATGGGAACATATAAGCAATTAGCTCACATGTAAATGCAAAAATTAGAAGGCAAGAGGTTAAAAGTATTTAGGGGGTTTAAATAAATATTTAATGTTTGTTCTGTGTATCTTCCATTCTTTTTTAAATTTATTTATTTTTGTGGTGGTGAGGATTGAACCCAGTGCCTCAAGCTTGCAAGGCAAGCAGTCCACCACTGAGCTACAACCCCAGCCCAGTATCTTCCCTTCTTAAAAGTGCTATAAAAGAAGACAGTGAAAGGATAGTAAAAGCATAGATTAATTTAAATAATTAAAATTGATATTTATTTCTCTTGTATTTGAAGCTCTTAACACAATTTTAACACTCATTTTTAAGCTAGATATTAAAGAAGAAATTGAAGATGAAGAAAAGACAATTGAAGATTATATTGATGTAAAGATGAATGATGTTGATTCCACTTCAGTTGAAGCTATGTACTCTATTGCTAGTCAATGTCTTCATGAAAAGAAAAATAAGAGACCAGACATTAAGAAGGTACCAATTTTTTGCACTCATATAAAAAGTAAAGGGAATGAAGGGGATGAGGTTTGTCATTTTTTCCTAAATGTACATTTCAAACCAGCTGTGTAATGTAGTTTTTCATTTGTTCTTTCTTTTTAAAAGGTCCAACAGCTGCTGCAAGAGATGACAACTTCTTAAAACTGTATAGGAAAGGACCCTTGATTTTATATATATATAAACAATTTTTTAAACTATTTTTTCTAAATTCTCTTCTTTATCTTTTACAAGACATCATGATGCAATGCAGTGGTTATTAAAGCATACATTGAACCTCCAACATATAGAACAAATAAAAGTACAGTCACCATATCAACACTTAGCCCTACCCACTTAGTATTAACTTCAGTACACATAATAACCCCTGAAGCATCTCCTTTGAACATCACCAAACATGATTAAAAACTTTTTTTTTTCCATCTATAACATGGACTGATATCTCCTGCCTCCCTGGTAGGAGGTCGTGAAAATCAACTGATGCAGAATATGTACAAGCACTGTGTAAATAGTGAGGTAATAATATTTAAAGTTTACAGATGTGATTATAAAATTTTATTACACTCAAATGTTTATAGGCTCATGTTCACTTTATACTATTTTCAACAGTCATTCACCACAAACTAAATATTCCCTGATGATGCTGCCCTGATGATGTGGCTGTTATTAGATTATATTACATGGCAAAGTTGAAGGGATTTTGCAGATGCAATTAAGGCCCCTAGTGAGCTAACTATAAGTATTAAAAGGGGTACTGTTTGAAATAGGTCTAAACAAGTCAAGTAAACCCTTCAGGAAGTAAGAGAGATTCTCCTATGGCTCTTGAAGAACTAAGTACCATGTTATGAGAGGGCAACATTTCCAAAACCAAAGGATGGCCTCTAGCACATGAGAGCTATTAGTCAGCAGGAAACAAATGGGAACTCAGTTGTGCAACCACATGGAACTGAATTCTGCCACAACCTGAAAGAATTTAGAAGAGTACTGCATCTTCAGATGATACCACTGCTCCAGCTGACACCTAGATTTTCACTGTGTGAGACCTTCAGAATGTGGGCCTGTCTGAGTTACCTGGACTTTTGACATGTAGAACTGTGATATAATAAATGGGTTGTGTTAAGCCACTAAGATTGTGGTAATTTATTATGTGCAACAGAAAATGAACACCAAGAGACTCCTATGATGATTTGCCTGTGATGATCCCATCATATTTATAGGTTCTGCACACATTCGACAGTGTGTGAAAATTAGAGAGAGTATGATTATACCCTAGGGTTGCAGTGTACTGATTTTCACTAGATTCTTTATTTCATCAGGCCCTAGTTTTTTGAAATTGATTTGTTTTATCATAGTGAGAGATTTCCTATACTAGTGCTTTTTAAAATGATTTTTAACTATTTTTTCTACATTTAAAATTTGTAGTTTGTTTATATTATTTGAAAATGTTATGGCTTTGGATGAACAGAAGGAAGGAATTTATTTTAGTATGAAAAATGACTGAAAAAAACCCTCGTATAAGCAACTGGCATCAACTAAGCAGTACTTCTTTATTCATCAAGGCTTTTCTAACATATTCTACCTCATCTTGGACCCAGAGCAATGGAGTTGACCTACCAGGGGCTGAACTTCTGAAACCATGAACCAAATAAACTTCTCTAATTTGTAATTGTCAGGGCATTTTAGTCACAGAGACAAAAAATGAACACAGAAAATTGGTACTAGAAGTGGGGTACTTTTTGTGACTAATCTGAACTATGTGGTTCAGGGTCCTTTGGAGCTGGTTTGTGGGAGGAATTTGTAAAGGTTTAGAGATTAAAGCTAGAGAAGTCTTAGAACTGGATAAGCATACCTTAATGGGTAATTGTGGAGGGAGCTTCAGAACACCAGAATGTTGAGAGGAATGCAGACAATAAATTCTGTGCTCATGAGGTTTCAGAAGGGAATGGGGACTCTATTGGAAACTGGACTAGAGTTCATGTTAAATTCTGGCAAAGAATTTGTTTACATTTTTGTACATGTCCTGAGAATTTGTGTGAGGCTGAGTTTAAAGGTGATGGACCGCTGGGTGTGGTGGTGCACACCTGTAAACCCAGTGACTCAGGAGGCTAAAGCAAGAGGATTGCAAGTTCAGGGCTCAGCAGGTTAGCTAGAACCTGTCTCAAAATTAAAAATAAAAAAATAAGGGGCTGAGGTTCTGGCTTAGCAGTAGAGTGCTTGTCTAGCATGTGCAATGCCCTGGATTCAATCCACCACACAAAAATAAATAGAATAAAGGTATTGTGTCCAACTACAACTATATTTAAAAAAATAAAATAAGTAAATAAAAATAAATAAAATGTGCTGGGATGTATCTCCCTGGGGATGTAAAGCAACTCTGAGTTCAATTCCTGGTACCAAATAAGTGAATAAATGTGATGAGCTAATTAATCTTGTGGAAGAAGGCAGCACAGCATTTAGGCAGTGGCATAGAATTTGCAGGCATCTTCTAATCCAGATTTTCAGGGAGAATCAGAGGCAGAAAGAAGAGTCTGATGATTTTTTAAACTTGCATTTTAGTGAAAAGAATAAGTACATATAATCCCAGCAGCTTGGGAGGCTGAGACAGGAGGATCATGAGTTCAAAGATAGCCTCAGCAACTTAGCAAGGCCCTAAGCAACTCTGTGAGATCCTTTATCAAAAAAAAAAAGAAAAGAAAAAAAGGCTAGGGATGTGGTTCCGTGATTAAGCACCACTGGGTTCGATCCTGCTAACAAAATAACAACAACAAAAAAAAGGACCATGAGGACACCCCATTCACGTGGGTGCTCCAAAAGTTGTTTTCCCAAAATTTATATCATTGTGCTTAATCATGGAAGCACTCACATGTCATTGCAGCCATGGTCCAATGGTCCAAAGCTCAAGCTGGCAGCCAACCTTTGTATCATCCACATGATGCTAATTCTGCAAGAATGCAGCACACTGGAGTTAGGGATTCCTGGAGGTTTCTATCAAGATTTCAAAGGCAAGCCTGGGAGGCCAAGCAAAGTATGTCAGTATCAAAATACTTGCATGCAGCACCTAAGAGGGCAATATGTGAAGCCATGAAAAGGAAGCCAAAGCTACAGTGGAGACCCCTTAAATTAAGAGATGGACCGTCTTCTGAGGAAAGCTGCTGGCTGCAGAGACAACCAAACTGAAAGAGGCCACATGTGCATGACCAGCCAGGCCAAAGGGGCAAGGCTGCCAAAGCCCTTTGGAAATCATATCTCCCCATCATGTGTCCCAAACGCCAGAGGTAGAGCCACAGGAAATGTTTGCCTGACTGGGTTTAATTCTTGCTTTCATTCTATAAATTCTTTCAATACCCCTATTCCTCTCTGTTGGAAAGTTTACTCTTCGCCATTACATATTGGATATATATAACTTGCTTTTGATCTTTATAGGGGTTCAAAGCCAAGAGTTTGCCTTGAGTCTCAGATGAGACTTTTCACTTGGACTTTTGGACAATACTAGAACTGTTTAGACTATAGGGACTATAGAGATGAACTAAATGCATTTTGTATTGTGAGATGAACATGAACTTAGGGGGATAAAATATTACACTTTGGATTTGAGGTGTCCCCTCAAAGCTCCTGTGTTGATACAGGAATTTTCAAATGCAAGATGATGGATGTAATCTAATCAGACTATCCCAGTTTGAATGGACTAACTGGGTGGTAACTGTAGGCAGGTAGGACACCATGTCCCACTATTGGAAGAGGTAGATCACTGAAGTTATGCTCCGGAAGGGCTATCTTCCCTGTGTTCCCTTCCCTTCTTTTTCTTACCTTCATGGACACCATGAATGTAGCAGTATTCCTCCACCATGTCTTTCTGCCATGATGTTCTGCCTCACCTTGGGTCCAGGGCAGTGGAGTTGGCAACCATGGACTAAACCTCTGAAACCATGAGCCAAAATATATTTTTTCCTCCTCTATGTTGTTCTTGTCGGGCAATTTGGTCACAGCAATGAAAAACTAACACAAATAAATAAATGAAGTACAAAAATAAATAAATAAAAGTCCATATGGAGGCAGCAGCAATGGAATTCCAAAATTAAGCTAAGATCTGAGTCTTATAATGAGACTAGGAAAAAAATCTTATGAAATAGTCTTACCTAACATAATAATGTATAAATTAATGTAAGAAATGTTTACTAATCATTTTCTCTGGTTTTCATTGTAAAGGTATTGGACATAAAATAATGAACAGTTAAAAAATTCTTCTTAGAAACTTATTCTCAGGAGACAGTCTTTTCAAATGAATGTGACACACAAATAAGACAATATCAGGTAGTGATAAATGTTATGGAAGCATTAAAACTATGTCATCAAGAGAGATTTCCTTGACTACTAAGCTTTAGCAACACTCAAACTCAATAGAAATGAATAAATATAGCATTTTAGTAGGAAAAAATACCATGATCTTATCAATAAATATAGAGCATGTATTTTACAAAATCCAGCCTCTTTTATGATTGATTTGTGTATGTGGAATCAACCTTGTATCCCTTGAATAAATTCTACCTGGTTTTAACATAAAATACTTTTATATAATCTTTTTTATGTTTGTATGTAATTCTTATTATATGGATTTAAATTGCTAGAATATCTTTAGATATTTGTGTCTAGTGAAAGACCAAAATTTTCCCCTAAAATCAGGAACATGACAAAAATATTTGCTCCGACCATTTCTAGTCAATGTTGAATGGAGAATTTAGCCAGGATTATAAGGTAGAACAAAACAAAAAAGAGGAGGAAGAGGAAATGGTGGAGGAAAAAAGAAGTGGTGGGGAGAAAAATAAAATGAAAGGGAAAGAAAAGGAATCCAGACTAGAAAGAAAGTAAAACTATCTATTTGTGGATGACATGTCTTAAATATACAAACCATAAAGAGTCTACACATACAGCAGGGAAAAATACTACTAGAGCTAATGAGCAAATTCATGACATTTGCAGGATGCGAGAGAAATGTGTGAAAATGGGTTGCATTTCAATATGCTAGCAATGAAAAATCTGAAAGGAAAATTTAAAAAACAATTTCATTTACATAGAGTCTAAAAGAATAAAATACTAATAAATGAAATAAAGGAGTGCAAGAGTTATGAAAGATAACTACAGACCAATATTGAACAAAAATTAAAGACATAAATAAATGGAAAGGCATTCCATAATCATGGATTGGAAGACAATATTAAGATGGGAGTGCGTCACAAAACAAGTCTACTGATTCAGCAAAACCCTTAGCAAAATCCAAGTTGGCTTTTCTGCATCAATAAAAAAAATCATATAGAAATGTAAGAAACCCAGAATAACAAAGTTATTTCTAAAGTTGGAAGATTCACAATTCCTAATTTCAGAACCTACTGCAAAAATATAGTAATCAATATTACATGGCATTGACATGAAGTCAGAAATATAGCTCAATGACAGAATGAAAGTTCAAAAATAAACTGTTGTGTATAAAGTTAATTGATATGCCAAAAATATTCAACAGGGGAAAAATACATCTTTTCAACAGATAGTGCTAAGACAACTGGGTATCAACATGCAAAAGAATGAAGTTGGACAACTACTTCACACATATGCAAAAATTAAATTCATAAGGAATAAAATACCTAAAGATAGAGATAAAAGAAAAAGCCCTTAGAAGAAAACAAGGGTATAAACACTTGCGATCTTGAATTAGACAAAAGTTTCTTGAGCTACGACACCAGAAACCTAAGTAAGCTTTAAAAGAGGAGAGGCTTAATTAAGATTTAAAAACTTTTGTGTGTCAAAAGACATTATTAGTGGGATTTGGTGGTGGTGCTTGTAATCAACCGGAGGGGAGGCAATAGGATCACAAGGTTGAGGCCAGTATGGGCAATTAAAAATAAAAAGGGCTGGGAATGTAGCTGAGTGGAAGAGTGCTTACCAAAACGCACTAAGGCCCTGGGTTTAATCCACGGTATAAAGGAAAAGGAAAAGGAACATCATCAATAAAGTTTAAAGAAATGATGTTTACAAACTATATATGTGGTAAGAGCCTACTATCTTAGAAGACATAAAACACTTTTTTGAGTCAATAGTAAATTAAAAATAACCCAATTTTAAAAATAGGTGAAGGATCTGAACGAAAATCTCCCCAAGGAAGACATACTAATAATGGTCAATAACCATAAAAAAAGATGCCCAATATCAAGTCATTAGGAAAAGACAAATCAAAACCACAATGTGATATCTCCTGACACTGATTAGAATGGCTACAATAAAACAAATTTTTAAAAAAATCGCAAGTGAAAAGTATTGTTAATGAAGATGTGGAGAAACTGGAACACTTGCACCTTGCTAACGGAAGTGTAAATGGTACAGCAGCTATAGAAAACAATGTTGTTTGGTAGTTCCTCAAACAGTTAAACAGAATTAGCATATGATACAACATATGATTATATTTCCATATGGTATATTATATTTGTTTTGGGATTTATACACCTGGGTGTATACCAAAGGAATTGAGAACAAATACTCAAACAAATGTATGTACATACTGGCTCATAGCTTCTTCCAGAGCTAGCATATGCTCCCAGAGAAATAGCGGCCCCCAGTTGTTGGGTTTGTCTTTTTTTCCTCTCCCAGATCTTGGCCCTATATTTCTTAACTACTTTGTGTTCTAATGCCTTCCAACAAAGGGATGTATGATACCTCAGAAGTAGTTTTGATCCTACATACTGTATGAAAAATCTTTCAATATGAAGATATAGGATCAATTTTTTAAATTTGTTCTTTTTAGATATACATGACAGTAGATATACATATATGGAGTATAACTTTCCATTCTTGTGGTTGTACATGATGTGGAGTTACACTGGTTGTTCATATATAAACATAGGAAAGTTATGTTCAATTCATTCTATTGTCTTTCCTATCCCCATCCCTCCTCCCTTCCCTCCATTCTCCTTTGTCTAATCCAATGAACTCCCCATCCCTTATTGTGTGTTAGCATCCACATATCAGAGAACATCCAGCCTTTGGTCTCTTGGGCTTGGCTTATTTCACTTAACACCATAGTTTCCAGTTCCATACATTTACCTGTGAATGCCATTTCATTCTTCTTTATGGCTGAATAATATTCCACTGTGTATGTGTATACACACACACAAAACACACACCATTTTCTTTATGATCAATGTTTTATATACTTAAAAATAAATCTTCCACCTTACAATGTGTGGCTAATTATATAATGAAAATAAGCACCAAACTACTTACAATATTATCTCAGGCACCTTATCTTTAGTTCTCTTGAGTAGAAATGCCTTCAAAAAATTAAAATTAGCCGTTTTGGGGCTGAAGTTGTGGCTCAGTGGCAGAGCACTTGCCTGACATGTGTGAGGCCCTGGGTTCGCTCCTCAGTACCACATATAAATAAATAAAATAAAAGATCCATTGACAACTAAAAAAAAATTTTTTTTTAAAAATCAACTTTTTTAAGAACCTTTATTTTCTATAAAACTGCTATCAAAGTCATCTATTTTGTAACATATCCTCAATTAGAAAGGAAATTGCATAGTAGAAATGTATTCAATATTTCTGGATGAACAGCAAGTCTCTAAAAATTTAATGTCAAGCACGCTAATCAACATATAATACTGGAGTGCTTCTACCACAACAGGAACTGAGTAACCTATGGAATTTTTTAAATGTATTTTTTTTAGCTGTAGTTGGACACAATACTTTTATTTTATTTCTATGTGGTGCTGAGAATGGAACACAGTACCTCACATGTGCTAGGTGAGCATTCTACCACTGAGCCAGAATCCCAGTCCCTAACCTATGGAATTTTCATGAGTGCTACAATAGTGAGAAAGCTCAACTAAACACTCTATAATCACAACTATTCTTGCCAAGGTTTCAAATTACTTAAAATGCTTTACGGATTTAGGCAGACTGGTTAATAAAATAAATAGATGAATAAAATTTCTTTTTTTAATATTTATTTTTTAGTTTTTTTAGGTGGACACAATATATTCATTTTTATGTGGTGCTGAGGATCAAATCCAGTGCCTCGCGCATGCCAGGCAAGCGCACTACCACTTGAGCCACATCCCCAACCCAGATGAATGAAATTTCTAACCTATCACCAGGTATTTAACTGTGTAAAATTATCCAAACATTAAAAAAGTTATACTAGAAAACCAACATAGAACACACACAATTTAAAGAGAAAAAATCTTTATTGTGATATAAAATGCACTTATAAAATGTCCACAGAAGGCATGTTATTTTTCACTGCTATATAAATTTAGTGGGAATATGTTATTCACCATCTAGTGTCACCTAAAACATACTGTAAACAATGAGTTTTACTCTAAAATAAATGCATCACTGATTTTCAGCAATCATTGATTTAATAATAATTAAAGATTATATAATCACATCTATATTCTGGAATGTCCATTTACTTTCATGTAGTGTAGCAGAATTTAGAGTATAATTGCACATAGATGGTACAGAAAAACATTCACTACTAAATTATTTTATATCTTCATGACAGATAATATTCTTCCTGATTGAAAAATGACAGCATCAGCTATGGTCTGCAACATAGCTCCCAGATTCTTAATGCAATAATTTGTTTGTCTATTGGTGTACCCATGGAACAACTTAAAAGTGTATCTTTAGTAAACAAGTGCAACATTACTGTCAACTATTTTGCATGTTTAAATATTATAGTCTAATTATTTGTAAACAAACAAAAATCCCACACAAATACTCTTAAATCTATTTTTTAAATCTTTCAACCCATAATTATTCTTATATGCTTTACTTAAACACACTGAATTTCTGAAAGGTGCATGTGTTATCTTAAATAATAAGGTTTAGCAATGAGTGCTTCATATTTTTTCTATGAAATGTGCATTTCTGACATTTGTTTTACGCAGCATGGAGTTTAGGTCAAGAAATTCCAAATCCTGAATACCCACAGTTCATTTTGAAAACTCCTTAGTTATGGCTCTGCAGCAGGTTTAACAAATTAAATACAAAGTGTTCTAGCTCCCTCTATTTCAAGTATCAAAGAAATATGAGGCTCAAAATCTCTCTAGGTTATAAATGAAAATGCAAAGGTTTAGAGAACAGTTAAATGTGTTTTGAAATAAGATACTAATTGAAACAAGATCATTAGCTAGTTATTTATCTGTGTTAAGCTATTAACCTCTAAAACTTCTAAACGCTTTTATATCTGAATATTTGCACAGAAGTGATATAGAACATAAACTACCCATAATTACAGAGAACAAAGTTTAAAAATTTTTCAATATTTTTTACTTTAGTTTGGTATCCTTTTGAATTATATTAATTTAAATTTCAATCTGTACATAAACATTTGGCCTCATAGTACTTATAATGAAATGAATTACTTTGGAAATAGACATTTTTTTAAAGCACTAGAAAAAAACTTCTAAGGCTATCTTTTGATGTTATCAGAAATATTGCAATATAGAAAACATCTGGTACCCTTAAAGTTTCAGAGTGAGCTGATCTTCAGAAATTTTAATGCCATTTAAAAAAAAAAAAGTCAAATAGAAAAAACTGCTGCAGTAAAGCACTGTTTCTAAAAGTTGCAGACATGATCCTAGTCTGTCAGCACAGCTCCTCAGAATAAGCAATTTCTACATTTTCCTAGGCATACTAAATTTTCAGCTTTGAAAATAATCTAACCTGGTCCTTAACTATTCATCAAGTAGTATGAATATTTTAAGGTCTTTCTGCTTCCCTTAAAAAAAAATTCTGATGTCTCACCAAACAGTAATAAGTAGATCCCACTTTAAGACATCAGACTTTCTGGAACTGGCCCATCTATATAAAATTTTAAGAATTATGTGAAAGTGTAGAATCAATATTCTATGAAAACAGTGTGACAAAATTAAACATTACTAGGTTGAAACCATTTCTAGCTTTAACTCAAAAATAGAAATCATGAGTCTTCTATAACGTTAATTTTAAAAACACACAGAAGTGAAAAGTGCTATTTTTCAAAAAGTACGATTTTTCTCCCTACCATATATCAACATGGAATGATTTCAGTTCTCCCGTACTAAAAGCTGTACTTTTAAAAAACTAGTATTGCAATGCTTAATATAACAATTTTAATCAGTAGTGGCTTCTGTTTCAGCTGGACCCCGAATTAGTCTTCGAATTCCTCTTTTTCCTGCTGGACCTTTTGGTTTTGCAAAACTTTGCTTATGTGCATGCTGTTTGGGATGTACTTCCTCATAAAGGAAATCTGCAGTCAATTCATCCCCATTGTCTATCTCAATCTGCAAAGAGGAAATACCAATTTGTGTGACACAATATAAAAAAGCATAACATTCAAAACCTAATATAAGCAAAAAGCCAGTTTTTAGGTATGAATGTTCATAAGCAAATGCATAATACCCATTTCAGTAAAACAGAATCCAGGACCATATATGTAAATTGTTTCACCTTTTTTTCAGGATATGCTAAATGAATTGCTAAAATACATACCCGACTATAACCACTTTCTATTTGGTTCCCTCTTACTGTTCCTATTTAAATATGTTTAAAAATAGAAGCTACTTATTACATGCTCAAGTTGTTCTGCTTTGTTTCACTATATATTCAAGAAACATTACTCATTACTTCATCACTTGGTTCACTTGAAATCATGCTAGAACAGATGTAGGCAAAGTGGTCTGCAGGCCAAACAGAGCCCAAGTCAAGACTATTTTATATTTTTAAAGGGCTGTAAAATACAAAAACAACAAGCAGAACATGTGACAGGGACCATATGTGGCCTAGCAAAACCTAAAGTATTTACTATCTGATTCTTTTTAGAAAAAAAATCAGCCAATCCTTGCTGTAGAGGTGTTACCCATAGTACAGTGATTCTTACAATCCTAATGGCTCACACAGTTCAGTATCTAAAATACTGGTAGTCTGAAAGGACCTGTATTTTAAAAGTTGAAGGGCTCAAGAATAAACCATTTCTTTCCTTAAGGCTTATCTGCACTGAAGAAAATAAATTTAAGAAAACTAGTAGCTTGGTTCCCAAAACTCATATGTTTATGCCAACTACTTCCTTTCTTAATAGCCGGAATGATTCCCAGAGATCCCCAGATTCACAGATATAAACGGAGACTGTAGTTGTGTATTAATAAGAAATCCAGAATTAATCACAAATATGTAGCTCCAGCAGCACTGTCCAACAGAATTTTTTAAATGGATGGAAATGTTCTGTAAGTGCTATAACTCCCAATACTGATTAAGAAATTGAATTTTGAATTTTACATACATTTATATTTAAGTTTAAATAGCCACTTATGATTTATGGCTACCATATTAGATAGTGCAGATCTGTAGAGAGATGAGAACAATGATAGCTCATCTCTAAGTACGTATAGGATACCCTAAGGATTCAGGAAGAGAACAATAAAAATAAACGTTTTCACTTATAACTCATAATGTACCCTGTCGTACATGGAAATGATAATAAAAAATCTAGTGAAAACTGAAGATTTTAAAATAGATGAGCCTACCTTTCTGATTATATCCATTTGTAACTGTCTCTCGACAATTTCTAGCAGAGGACTCTTGCAGCTAGAGTATAGCATCCGTTCTCTTATACTGCATGTGTATCCAGGCATTGAATAAATAAAAACTGTTAAGTTAAAAATAATAACAACAAATACAATCAGTAGCATATCAATTAAAGCAAGTACATAAACCACATAAAATTATAATTAAGCCACTGGAAAAGAAATAAATAAGAATATACTGCTGAAATATCAATAAGCAAAGTGAAAATAACATATTAGAAATAATGTACTATATATATATATATATATACCTATGGACTCTAAGTAGTCTCCTTCATGGGAATGTTTATACAGGAAGAAATGATAACGTGCTGAATCCTTGGGAATCCTCTTTGGCAAATCTTTCAGTTCTGTATTTGTTGTGTTGGCCAAAATTATAAATTCATTTTTTATATCTATTTCCTATCAGTAAGAAAAAAAAATGTTCATTAAAGCAGAGATTAAGTTGAAAGTTTTTTTAATATATGTTTTTTTTAGGTGTAGGTGGACACAATACCTTTATTTTATTTATTACTTTTATGTGGTGCCAGGGATCAAACCCAGTGCCTCATGCATGCTAGGCAAGTGCTCTACCACTGAGCTACAAACCAGACCTAAAGTTAAAATTTTATAATAAAAAACCTATAATATGCCTGTAATCCCAGCAGCTCAGGGGGCTGAGGTGAAGGATCACGAATTCAAAGCCAGCCTCAACAACTTAGGCCTTAAGCAACTCAGTGAGACCGTCTCTAAATAAAATACAAAACAGGACTGGGGATGTGGCTCAGTGGTCAGGTGCCCCTGAGTTCAATCTCCAGTACCCTCCCCTCATAAAAAGCTGCAATACAAAGGGGACTTAGTTCTGAACTGTTTGACATTTTCATAATAAACACATATAGTTTTTGTAATTTTTAAAAACAAGTAAAAATAGTCAAGAAATAAATTTTAATAAATTAAAGTTCTTAAAAAATAAACTTTATACAAGCTGTATAAAAAAAAGCAGTCCTTCATAACAACCCTTATACTTCTCTTACCAACTGCACATAGTTGAGCTGTCTGTTGTTTAGTTTTTCCAAAGCCTGAAAAGCTTCCCGAGAAATAGGAAATGCTACTCCTTGTAGTGTTTGATGCTTAGTGTCCACACCCACATCAGTTTGTACCTAAATATGATAGATACAATAATTTGCTGGTAAAACTATAGCAATTAGCAGTGTCCTATGGCAAAAATGAGAAAACCCAACATCTATGACAGCATCATTCAACCCTTTCCCAACCTATAATTAAAATAATTAAAATTAATACCTAAAACACTGTGAATTTAAAAAGCAAACTATTTTTCACATCTGTTCATGATCCACTAGCACTCTGTTGACATGCAGAGTCCAAGGCACATCTTGATGAAAACGTTAGGAGTGAATATTTGAGTAAGTGTGCAGTTTTAGTGGAAATTTGTTGTATTTTTGTTCTCTTTAATCTTCGCTATGCTTGGTTTGGCACAATTTCAATGAGATATACAAACTTTTTAAAGTGTCACCTGATCAACCCTTTTAAGAATAAAATTTTACTTAAATTTACAAATCATAAAATATATGCAGAAATTTACTTGGTTCTCTTGGACATAAAATACAACACAAACACCATGCACTGAATTGAAAGAAGTACAAACAATATGCAAATACACAACACAGCTCAACAAGCTATACTACTGCAGAAGTTCCAGACGTAATAGCTTTCTTTACTAAGAGTATAAGTGTGCATGGATTAGAAGAGGGGGATTTTTCAAGAAAGCTTTCAATGAACATGTTTAAGATTTTTATACCCGATAAATAATAGCTAGGATAGAGTCTCATTTGCTGTGTTTCATCAGAAAGTTAAATACAAATTTTACTTTTTAAAAAATGAATGGAGATTCTACAGCATGATACTGGATAATGAAAACATCATAAAATATATGCAAATGCATACCCCAATATGATCCTCTGGGTTCTGATTGCAAGGAATAAAACAAACTATCAAACTTGTAAAAAAAAAAAAAATTCACATTAAAAAAAAACCCATTCAAATAATGAGTTAAAATAATATAATGATAGATTCTTGCTACTAATAAAATTCACATTAAAAAAAACCCATTCAAATAATGAGTTAAAATAATATAATGATAGATTCTTGCTACTAATTAATGATATTTAACCCTTTTCCAGACCAAGTCCTATTTGTATGATACTCAAACTACTGAACTGTGGTTTGGGTTACTTGTTCTTTTCTATAAAATCCCAGTAGAAATACATTAATGGTTTCAATATTCAATTAGAATGTCTGCAGAAAACACATTAAAATATGATAAACTATAATGTGGTTGAAATTTATTGACTCATATGCTCAATAACTATGCAAATAACAATCTTCCACACTTATCTCCATCAAAGTTCATAGAAGCTAATTTACAAAGCTTGTAGAAATCTTGTACATTCTACAGCATTTTTATTTTTTCTCTTTAACCTTACTATTCTCTGAAAAACATTTAAAAAATCTGCTTCAGGCAACCTTATTAGATATGAAATTCTTTGCAACACACACTTCCCATTTATACAGTATTTAAAGCACAGAGTACAACAGTTGTATTTCTAACAGAAGATTTATTGTTGTAACGTACATTTGAGGAGAAAGCTATTTATTAAACTAATATAAAGTTTAATAATTATTTTTACCTTTCAAATAAAAATACATTAACCACACAGGTTTAACTCCAAACTAAACAGAATAAACCTAACTGTGCTAATATCTTTATTCTCCAGTTACCACTATATCTGTTAATTAAGAATAGGGTATTCTGAAACACTTATAATCTTGCAAGCATTTCAAAGTTGTAATTTACCTCATTAATTTTAATCTGTCGTAATTCCTCCTCAGCTGCAGTCAATGGGGCAGGGGAAGACTGTGACAGCAAGTATTTTTTATATCCATGTAATGACACATCTTCCTGTAAGCACAGAAATGAACTATTATCAGTAATTCTCTAGACATAAAATCAGAGCAAGGTTACTTTAGGAAAAGCAAAACTATTAATTTACTAGAAATGAAATGAAAAAGCATTAAGAATTTTATTTCTTTTAAAAAATCCCCTATTTTGAATATTTTAAAGGTTTCAAATTTTCTTAAGGGGAATGTCTATACTTTATTTCCTGAAGTTTTATAATGATTACATCTTTTGTATGAATTTGGTGGTGGTGATGCTGGTCATGATTCTAGTATATAATTGCAATTAACCTTCTGGGAATAACTGTCCAGTAATTATGCAATACATAATGTATTAACATTCTGAATTTGATATTAAAATAATTATATAATTTTTCTATAATTATTCATGGAATATTATTATAGTTTTTATGTTAAAAAAAAAATACTTCAAAAAGGTCTTCATATCATCCAAATTTTGTGGTTTGGAAGACAAACTCCAAAGAGAATTCAACCCAACCCACAATTAATGGTGAACAAGCATCATATTCCCATTTACTCTTTTGGGCTATCTAGTAGATTATATTACTTTATGAATCAGGAAAGTTCTGAACAAGTCAATAACAACAACAAAAAAATCTGTTAAAAACATATTTCAATTTTCTTAATTTGTGTGTATATGAATAAATACATTTATTCACCATGTGAACATTTCAAAAGGAAAAGTATGTTTTAGTAGAACCAATTCTATGAATTCAAAATTACATATTCTTTAGAGTTAACTTATATATCATGAAATACATTTTCGCTCTTATCCTTTTGTGTACTGATTCACCGATCTGAATTCTTATGAATCACCCATTATCTAGGAGTTCTTATTATTTTATTTATAATATCAAGAATCCACATAAAAATATAAGTTTTAGATGGGCACAGTAGTGCACACGTATAGTCCCAACTATCAGAGAGCTGAAAAAATAGAATTGCTTGAGGAATTTGAGACCAGTTTGAAAAACACAGTGAAATCTCATCTCTTACAGAAAAAAAATTGTGTGTGTGTATGTGTGTGTGTACATAAGTTTTATACCTTTACTGTTCCAAATACTTCATCTTTAATGTGGCCACCTCCAAACTCCTTTTTTAAAGTTGCTCTTGTTGCTGCATACAACATTTTTTGCCGAACCTATTCAGTTGTGAAAATTTACTTAGAAGTTTACAGATGAAAATATACCATTTCAAAAGAAAGCAAATACTCAATGTATGAAAATATTCAAGCACATTAAAAATAAATTGGTAAAGCTGAAGTTCATATTGTAAAGCCTATAATATGCTAAAGTATATGTATATGAATAACCATCATAACATGAGTATGTCAACTGTCAATGGCTATGGTAGATTTTAAATTATATGTCACATTTTTTGTAAAGTGAGGGAAAAAACCCAATTTTTAAAAAGTTCCTCATTTTTCAAAGCACAAAATTAAATCCATTAAAAATATTTTAAAATATGAGGAAAAAATACTGAAATGAGGTAACCTGGATAGTGACATTTTTCTCAAAACTAGATCAGATATTATCACTGAAATTGCTAAAAATCAAATAGTCATGGCTTACTTATGGCATATACCATTCTATGAGGCGCACAGAAATGAAAAGAAATACAATACATACTATTATGTAGGAGTTTACTACTATCTATGGAAAGCTACTAAAGTTAACTACCAACTAGCAGAAATAATTTCCTAATCCAGAAATAATTTCACAATCCTAAATGGTAAAATGCAATATTTCTTTTAGAGAGATTATGTAAAATTAAGATGGAATCATGTTTTTTTAATATTTTTTTTAGTTGCAGATGGACACAATATCTTTATTTTTATTTATTTATTTTTATGTGGTGTTGAGGATGAAACCCAGAGCCTCACATATGCAAAGCAAGCGCTCTACTACTGAGCTATGACCCCAGCCCCTGGCATCGTGTTTTGCAAATGGTTTAAGAATTATTTTTTAATACGAAACTTGACAATTCTTAAAATACTAGGTAGTACTCATATATTAATTTCATCTTTTGTTCTATTTAGTCAGTCTACTACCAACCTTTCTAAATGAAATATTTGTTAGTGTGCATGCCCATCACATGAATGATACCTATTAGTAATCTATGAAAATTAACAAAATTTAATATAATCTTCATTTAGTTATCAGAATTGTTATTACTCTCAGGGCAAAACAGCTTCATTCTTTAGAGGCAGAGTCAATTATAATTGCCCCAGATTTAAAATTTTTAAATCAATAATAATTCTTTTGATTTCAAGGACAAAATTTCTGAATCTAAGCACATTATTCCTCATTCCACAATACCAATCTAAGAATTATCCACATGATCGATCATTCCCTTCTACTGGAAATGACTACTGTTTATTAACCTTCATTTGGCCTAGAAATATTTCAGAAAATTTTTTAAAAAATTCTAGCACTTAATGGTAAACAAACTAAAAAAATTACTTACATGAGAATGATCTGGAGACCATGCAATGAATATCCATTCATATCCCTGAGCATTCTGGGAATCTAACCTGAATAATATATAGCATGGCTGCTTGTCCTCCAACAGAGGTAAAATAAAGGAATCATAATCTTTATCCCAGGAATCTGAAGGCTGACTACATGATCCAATCACAAGTTGCTCTATGAAAAGAAATTTTTAAAAAGACAAATAATTGGTCTGAAATACCAAGTTTAAAATAGAATATATACAAATGATCATAATAGTTTAGTTTAATGGTTGAATAATGATGATTGATTATATTTCTTTCAAAATGTCTATGCTATAAATTACCAACAAGACACATTTAAATAACTGTACTACCACTTAAAACTAGCATTTCTGAAATTAATATTGAACTGTAAAACATTTTAAATAAAATTATATTTACCAATTTTGCTCAGATTTAAAATTTGCCTCAAAGCATAACTTGTTATCTCCACTTCTAAGTGCTATCTGCCAGAACTGAGTAAAACTGTGGATGAATTCTTCACACAGAATTTTTTGCACATATGCACAAAGGTATTCACTACAGTACTATATAGTAACAGTGAAAACTAGAAATAGCTTCAACATTCATCAATAAGAAAGAACAAATAATATGTGGCAGAGTTATATGAAAACATTCTACTTAAATAGGATCCATAAACTATCAAAATGCCTTATAAAAATAACATTTATAGAATATGTAGAATTAAAAAAATATGCAGAATAAGATAGTATGTAGTTTATGTGAATTTAAAATACTCAAAACAGCACTATATTTTATTTAAGGATACATGTAAAAATAGATTGTACAAACCATTAAATTTTAGAAAATCATAAAATTTAAAAATTTTTTAAATTTATAACATTGACTTTAAAAAGGCTTGAAGCAGGCTGGGGTTGTGGTTCAGTGGTAGAGCGCTTGCCTAGCACAGGTGAAGCACTGGGCTTGATCCTTAGCACCACATAAAAATAAATAAATAATTGTTTTAAAAACACTTTATTTTAAAAAAAGCCTTGAAGCAAGTATTTTAAAATATTTAAGTCATTAATTTAAAGGAAGAGATAGGTATTTGTAATTTATTCTTTGGAATTTATTTTTTTCTCAAAACAAACAAAAACACAGAAAACAATGACATAGGAAATAGTTTTCCTTCTGAAGAGATGCCAGTTAGATGAACTTTAACTTGTTTACTTAACTAGTTACTTAGAAGGTAATGACATTTAAAATTTTAGCTCAATATTGCTAAAATATGCTGCTTTACAGTATACATTTATTCCTTTGAATATTATAATATCTATAAACAACTGCTGATTTTATAAACTATTCTGGTTTTGTTTTTCTGTCTTTACAGTATTAGAGATTGAACCCAGGAGCCCTCTATCACTGAGCTATATCCTCAGCTTGTTTTGTTTGTTTGTTTGTTAATTTTGAGACAGGTTCTTGCTAAGTTGCCGCTGGCCTGGAACTTGTGAATCTCCTGTGTGTACCTCTGAGGTAGCTGGGATTATAAGTGTGTGTTAATGCACCCAGCTGTTCCAGTATTTTCAATAGATAAGCAGAACTAGAAAACAAATTAGATTTACTTCCAGTTTATTAAAGAACAAGTTATTTTTCCAAAGCAAAATATTTCCAAGTATTTAAGAAAATAGGTCATTGGAAGATCTTAACACATTCAACAATCAAGTACTTATAGCAGTAACCGTACAAATTCAAATCCACCTGATTTCAATTCTCCTAAACCAACCATTTTCCCAGTTTATACAATTATTTCTAAAAAGTCAACTTAGAGTTTGTTAATTCTCAGAACTTTCCCGAAAAAAGAAAAGGCAATCATTTCTGTAGTACAGGTTGCAATCAGATGGAAAAAATGAAAGACTACTTCAAAACAAACTTTACCAAACAATAATAATAAATTCACAAGCTACCTTTTTTCCATTTTTTATAATCACCCGTTTACTGATTTCCATACAGAAAAGAATGGAAGCACTGACATTAGAAATAGTGATGCAGAAATCTGAGACACAAAAAAGCATAAGAAAGATGTTACACTAAAAATAAGCTTTATGTTTCCCTGATAACTACAGAATTCAGAAGAAAAACAGGGGCCTTTTAGCAACCTGCACAAAATGTGAAAAATCCAAATTTCTTGAGTGAAGTTTGAACTTGCTTCATACTAATTAATAGTTCGAATTACTGACAATACTTAACAAATTTAAAGTATAACACTTAGTAATCCAGGGACACACAACATTTAAAAGTTTAACTAACCATTTTCAATAGATATTTTCAGAAGTCTGTATTTTCCATTTCTGGCTCTGGCAAAGATATCTTTAACGTCTTCACTTGCTGTGGAGAAAGGGGAAAATAAACCTAGTTTTTATACTTAGAAGTACTTTATTTTACTATCTAAATATAATGAAAAAATAAATTACAATACAAAGGAAAAGCTGGAGCATCCTCTTATTATCAGTATTATAAAATTTAAAGGCATAAAATAGTGGGTATTGAATACAACTAAAAAATATAAATGTTAATATATGCTCTTCAAACATTAATTAATATACATATTAACATATGTTCTTTAAACATATTAATTCCAATCCTTCTTAGCTAGATAATTCTGCAGGAATAACACAAAAGTAAACATACTGAAGGTACTCAAACCAAATAATCAGCAAATTATTGTTTTGAAAACGCTTTTACTACTTGTTTGAAAATGTTGAAAAGTTGTTTTCATTGTCTTCTAGTTCAATTTCAAGCTTGTGATAGACAGCTTTTTTATCAATTCATTCTCTGTATATGCCTATTAAAAATAGCAGTATCAGATATCTTATCCTGATTAAACAAAAAAGCCAGTTAATACCTGTTAGATCTTATACTTCTTATATTTTTCTTGTATTTCCCCAAAAGTTAAGCTCATTAAAATACACAATTAATAACACAACCTTTCTGCACCTATTAAAACTTCAATTTCGTTTCTGTTTTTTCTGTTACCAGCAAGAGGACGCTTTAGGCAGTGCTTACTATGAGGTTCAGGCATGAAAGTCAATAACTGCATATTAAAACACTAAAATTAATGCGGACAAATAAAACAATGCTTTTAGAACTTAGACTTTTTGCTTGTGTGTCCGTGAGACTGGAGGTTTGCGAATAGTCAAAAGACCCTTAAGAGTACAACATACAATTGGGGAAGGATCCATTGCCTATTAACAGGAAGAGGTTGAGTTTATACTGGAACTCATTAAGACATCGTGAGTAACCCCGGGACATATTATTTGATTCTCATGAGGTGAGCGCTTCCAAGCTGCCCATTTTCAAACCAGGAAATAATGGAGGGCAGATACACAGTAATTGCACATTCAACTGTCGACACGGGATATAATTAAAGGCAACCACACAGATCAGACTTTTTCAGTTCCCTTGGACAGGACCTAGGAAAAAGATCGAAATGCACCCCATCCTCAGGATTTCTCTTAACATAGTTACGCTCACATTTGGAAGAAAATGCGGAAAAGAGTTTGGGAAGCACCCTACAAATTTAAGAAAGACCCTGATATGTTTCTTTTTACAATCAGTCTAGTAACAATCTCTTTTAACTGTGAAAAGAAAACTCGCCCAGCCCGACAGATAAAAAGAACCCCAGGCGCCTCCACTCTCGCAGCTCTTCCCAGCCCGACAAAAGGGGGAAAGTTGAGGTAAAGCCGGGGCACGGAGGGCACGCCCCCTCCACACCGGCCGCCTGGGACAGCAGTTTCCGACGCTCCTCCGAACTGAGTGTTGCCTGTTACGTGGCGGCGGCCGGGGCTGGGAGGAACGCAGGCCGGGAGCACCCGGGAAACTGGAGCGCCCAAGACGCGGGGAAGGCTCGACCCGCAAGTCGCACTCCCAGCGCCGCAGCCTGCCGGTTTCCCGTCGCCTCCCGGGAGTCCCTTCCCCAAGGGCCGCGCCAGGCGCCGTTACCTTGGATGCCGGTCTGGTGGGACATGGCGGCGGCCGCGGGCTCCCGGCTCCAGCGCTGAATGCAGCGAGCGGCCCCGGCCGGCAGCTCCAGGAAGTGGCAGCTCCTCCGCCGGCCGCTGTGCGTCATCCGCCCGCGACCCACGGCCGCCCCGCCCCGCCCAGACCCACGAGGCCGACAGCGCCCCAAGTGCCCCAGCCGCCCGCCGCAGGTCCACGCCCCCGCTGGCCCGCGCCTTGCTCCCTGCCAGGGGTCTATACCTTTCGTCATTTGTAGTCGCTCCTTTGATTTCGCCAGCCGGAAAGCTGGTGCTAGCACCCTGCATACCCGCCGCACGCTGGCTCTGCAAAGGATGCTCAAAAATGGAAATGACCATTTTACTACACGTATATTTTCACCTTAGAGGATGTACACAACCTCCTTCTTGGTTTACTCTTCCTGTGATCCACACAATATGATGTAAAGAAAAGGTCTTTCCTGCATCCTCCCTTTTAAGAATGGAAATTAATATATAAGAAGGTCTTTATTTTCCCCACGATTTAAATTAATCTCAAACTGTTGACTTGACTTTTCAGCTGGGCATATTTAAAACGTTTTTCTTTCTCTTCATTCCCAAAACAGGAAGTCACTGAGAATGAAAAGATTAGTATTGAGTATTCCTCTGTGATCAATTCTACCCCCTGGAAACTGTAAATCTGCTCTGCTCTAGATTGGCCCTCTATTCTCTTAGACAATTATTCAAATAATTTGCATGATAACAGCATATATCAGTTGAAATTCTTTCTCATTCTCTGTACAGTTCCCTTCTGAAAGATAATTTTAGTATCTATGTTTGTACAGCTTTTGTACTACTCCTGGGTATAAATTAAAATCTTGTTGTTAGGCCCTTGGACAAAAAAAATAAAAAACAAATACACAAAATTATTATCTACTTAGGAACCTACTGTTCCCACCAGCAATATAAGTATAAATTAATAAAATCACTCTTTGAATACAACATAGTTTAAATTAGTTACTAAATAGCTGATCTGTGCAGTTTTCTTTACAGAGACCACAGCAAACAAGATTGCTACATTTGGTACTTGTTATTAAACTCTCCCTCAAACAAATCCTCCTATTCAGGAATAAACACAATTTAATCTGAGTTTCATGACTTGTTTGGATTTAAAAACAGGGTGGCATTTAATTCTAACCAAGTTCTTCCTGACATAATGATTCACCCTGATTTACTAGTTTTGATTGCATTGTTGAGCAGAGAAAAAAAATTGCAGAGTTCACTTGCAACTTTTTGGCTGATTCATGTCCTGGTGACTAGGGAAAATTGCTTAAGGAAGTTGGCACTGCTCAAAAGTACTGATGAGAAAAAAAAAAAAAAAAAAAGACTCTCCAACATTGATGCTTAGAAAGGACCACTGACTATATGCTCAGCCCTGAAGAAGAGGAAAGTCCAGTTAAATTAAAGACTACGCTGGCATCCTCCCGATCGTGCTAATGTTCTACCAAAATACTTATTTTCTACAGTAGTTTGAATTCAAAGCTGTAAGGGCCTTGGTTGCATTGCTCTGCCCTAGCCACAAAATTTTCTCACTTTTTCTCATCTAATGTATCTCCAGTTATTGAACATTTGCCTTAGAGCTGGCCTTAGAATTTTATAGTGATTTACAATTTTCCAAGAATATATCCATGTACAAATATGTATGTGTATGAGTGTGTGTACACACACACACTATATTAGCACCAACATGACCCAATCTGGTAGGCTAAATGACCAACATAATCCTGTCTGGCAGGTTTTATTTTTTTTAACTTTAAGAAATTTGGAAATTGAAGTATTGAGGAACTGAGCAGACATCAAGGCTAGGACAAGTGTAAGGAACAGAAAGCATTTAAGACAATGTATACCAAAAGGTTATGTATTATAAGGATATAGTAGAATCTCATGGATCCTAATGGCTTAGCTCTGCTGCCTCTTGCTTTCTATCTGCCCACCTCCGCACCCATGGAGTCTGCTTATGCAGTCACAATGACAGAATATAGCAAGGCTTGGTGGCCTTTGTCTATAATCCCAACAATTTGGGAGGGAGGCTGAGGATTACAAGTTGGAGACTAGTCCAATCTTCAGCAATTTTGCAAGACCATATCTCAAAATGAAAAATAATAAGGGCTGGGGATATTACTCAACAGCAAACTAAAAAACAAACAAACAAAAAAGATTGTGGCCACAAATTAACAGTCCCAGTTCCAGCTTCATGCAGAGATTTAATAGTTTTGCTTTCTTTCTTTCTTTTTAAATAAGTCCAAATTCCTAGAAGGAAGCATATGATTAATTGCCCTTGGTTCACAAGTCATATCAGTCTTGGTCTCACTGACTACTTTATTCAGATCACAGTGCCCAAGAATAAAAGGCAATTATCATAGAAGAAACAACAAATCTTGGGTTTGGAACACAGGCTTAGAATATAGTAAAGCTGGTGCTAGAACCTAAGTTCAAGGTCACAAACCCACATGCATGCAGGAGTGGGGACAGTTAAGTAACATAAATTAGTGAAGTTGACAAATGCTGACTGTGGCACTCAGGAGCACATGTTCCCCTGAAAGGGAACTGCTGCTGCTCAACTCCAGCTGACTGATGCCCTATGGGAATTCGGGTCCAGGGTAACAGATCTTCTGATTTTCAAGGATGTAGGAAATTCGAATTTTATGTAAAATCTCTATTTCAACTTTTAAAAGTATGAAAATACAGAAGAACCATACATACATACAGATGACATTTGGCCTATGGATTTGTTGTTCATTTACGACCATGACCTGGATCTTCTATCTGGATAATTGTCAAATAATGACATCTAAAAATCTCACATCCTCCATAAATTCTTTATATGTAAGAGAATTAATGTGAACAGTACACATTTGTATATAGAGTAAATATATATAAAACTATAAAGAATCCTTTATCTATCTTGTTGCTTCTCCGAATTAGGAAATTCTGTTGGGAGAGAATCATTTTTTCTTTTATCTGTGAAATAATTATATTATAAAATGCTGCATTATTTATTTTAGGCTTTTATATAGAAGAAAGTCTGGTGTAGAATTTAAAATTGACCTATGAATTTGTATGACTATTAATGAAATTATTTAACCCCTCTCAGCTTTGATTTTATTTTTATTCATATACCAATAGTAAGATCTTATAATTATCATGGAAATAAAGTGAGACATGCCTTTATAAAGCTATTGTTTTAGATGTTCAATGTGTGTTAGGTTTCATATCAGATAGACAGCATTAAGTCCAACACAATATGTTATTATACAATATGTTTCAAAATAATCATTAAAACAGAGCAAATAATGTTAGACTGAATTTCTTAACATCATGAGCAATTATCCGAAGTTGATTTCTTCTGTTGGTTCCTGCAGTATCACTGTTAGCTACTGAGTCTTATATAACATCCTTAGATTTATAAAGCATCAAATTATGAAAAGAACACTTTGGGTCATAAAAAATGAGGATTGAACATTAAAGCAATGTACCTTAGCTGAAATTAACTTTTATCGTAAGCATGTAATTAGTATCCCCAATGATCCCTAATAAACACCTGGCAAGCCTGCTAAAACTTTTAACAAAATGGAATTTATAACAGAAGATCCTTTCATTCTGATCAGGCTGTGTGGTGTTTGGATGAGTCACTGAGAAACAGAACAAAGAGTTTGGGTTAAAGATCAGTTCAAGGAAATAATATCTCTTTATTACTTTCCCAAGTGAAATCTGAACTGAAGTAATCTTAATAAATGATATGTATTTTCTAATGAATAAAACAGGGAACATTTTGGTTCAAAGGAGTTGTTGATAATGATAAGGATGCAACTTGGAATGAAAGTGCAGGAAAGCACAAAGCAGCCAGCATATTAATGTATTATTTATAGTGGGATTTTCACCCTGGGTTGAAGAAGTACCTTAGCAACAGCATCTTGAATCTTTTTCTCCTTATCTCTAATCTCATTCGGGGTAGGATGGTTTAAATGGCTAATGGGAATATTTGCAAACCACTTTGAACATAACAATTCTCTCTCCCTGTTTTCTAAATCTTTTCTAGTGATATTAATTAACACTTATAAAGCTCCTCTGATGATTAAACAGCATGTGCAGAAGATACCCTCTAATATTGAGTTCAATATGAGCAACAACTTTTTATGTCTTTCAACTATTTTTGCAGTCACAACAGACTCCAGCTCTTCCATGTTAGAGGAAAAATTTAAGAATCTGAAATCTGGCTGGGAGATGGTGCAAGGGAAAATGTAAAGCTGAGTTTGCATAGCAGGGTTTTGTTTGTTTTATTCTATTGTATTATTTTTAAATTTTTTGTTCTTGTTGTAGATGAACACAATACCTTTGTTTTGTTTATTTTTATGTGGTGCTTAGGATCCATCCCAGTGCCTCACATGTGCTAGGTAAGCACTCTACCACTGAGCTACAACTCCAGCCCTATTGCATTATGTTTCAAAGAATAAGTTAGAAACAAAAAGTTCATAGCAATGGCAGGGGCCAGGGGTGGGGGGGGGGGGGGGGGGGGGGGGGGGGGGGTGGTCATGGGAGGAATGGAGGAACTTTAGATAGGGCGAAGGGGAGGAAGGGGAAGGGAGGGAGCAGAGAGTAGGAAAGATGGTGGAATGAGTTGGATATCATTACCCCAAGTACATGTATGAAGACACGAATTGTGTAACTCTACTTTGTGTATAATCAGAGACATGAAAAATTGTGCTATATGTGTACTATGTATTGAAATGCATTCTGCTGTCATATGTAACAAATTAGAATAAGTAAGTAAATTTAATAAACAAGTTCATAGCAATAAATGAGAGAGGGGTGGGTGACAATACCTAGAGAGATTATGGAAGAGTTAAAGCCTCTTTATGTTCATTTTAAACTAGTTTTTTGGAACTGCCTGGAGACCCTCTGCCCAGAGTTGGGATCCAAAATGGACTAACTTTTCACTAAGCACTGCTCCATAACAAGGACTTTATAAAACAGTTTCAATGTATCTATTATGGTGTTTGTTTGTTAAAAGTAAGCTAGATCAGTCTGGTGATCTTC